CATTCCCTTTCCCTGAGGGCAAACACTATTGAAATTAGGTCAGCTGATAACACTGTAGTGGCCTCTACCTGTTTAAGTAAACGAAGAACGGCGTATCTCTCACTTTAAACTAGAAATTAAGGTGGAAAAGCTAAGCTGAGAGCTACAACAGGCTGAAGGACGGATCCCTACATTAAACACGGAGCCTGATTGTGAATGAAAGCGGTATTGGCATTCCATTTGTATTTTAATAAATAAAGTTTGCCTGAGGATCAGAAAAGCAAAGCAGCCAGCCACTGGCTCTTACCTTGACCTCAGTCTGAAAAGGGTGATCCTGCCTCCAGGAATCTCATAATGAGACCGAGAGCTGTCTTTTCCCATTTTATATTCCTCTCTAGTTCTGGGATTAAGGGTGTGCACCACTACTGCCTGGTTTCTATGGCAAGCTAGTGTGGCTACTGGGACTAAATGTGTGTGTCATTGCTGCCTGGTCTGTAAGGCTGGCCAATGTGGTGGTTTTACTTTTCTGGTCCTCAGGCAACCTTTATTTATTAAAATGCAGATGAAATGCCACTACAGAAAGCAGACACTCGAAGTAAAATCAAAGTGCCACCCCAGAACACACGTGTAATGAGGAAGCAAACCAGGATTACAGAAAGATCTGGTGGTTTGGACAGATCATGGCAGCTAAGCATCTAATCCAGAACATCTAATCTCTTCAATTTGATAAAGTTACAATTTATCTGAGAGAGCTACAGGGCAAAGTCTGTAGTTAACAGAGTCTGGGTCATGAGACAGTTTTGTTTAAGTGTGGAGTTTTTGGTGTTTCATTTTTTGAGACAGGGTCTTGCTTTCTTCATTAGCCTGGTTGAAAATTCTCTGGCCTCACTCTACTGGGTACTGGGAACACTGGCGTATGGTATAGCACCCAGCTCTGATTCATGAGGAATAAGGTACAGATATCCATGCCACCTCTATAACACTGCCCTGATTAGTTTCAACTGTAAACTTGATACAACCTAGAGTCACCTGGAAAGAGGGAACTTCAGTTTAAGGACTGCCTCCATCTGCTGGGTATTGTGGCGCACACCTTTAATCCCAGCATTCATGAGGCAGAGGCAGGCAGATCATCCGAGTCTGAGGCCAGCCTGGTCTACAGAGCGTTCCATAAGCAATGTTTCTCTTCTATGGCTTCTGCTTAACTTTTCACTTGTGTTCTGCCCTGGCTTCCTTCAGGGATGAACTGTGACCTGGAAGTGTGAGCCAAAGAAACCCTCCCCTTCCCGGAGTTGCTTTGGTCATGGTGTTTATCGTGGCAACAGGAAGCAACCAGGGCAGGCATGAAGTGCAAGGTGAAACAGGCAGTGCTGGTGCATAAGCCGCAAGCTGCCAGAAGGTCCAGCTGAGACTGTTGAGGAAGTAGACACACACCAAACAACAGGTTTAAAGGGAGCTGAGAAAGCCTTCTGTTGAAGAAGACCCAGCTGGAACTTTCACAGACAGAAGCCAGTGCCCGGCTTTGTCCAAGGACAGGATGACTCCCTTGTTCGGGGCTTAATATGACTGATGACTAAGTTGAAGCCAGTGCTTCTCGGTCATTTAAGAATCAGTCAATAAAAGGCTAGTTCCTGGACAGCTAGGGCTGTTGCTGAGAAACCCTGTCTTGAAAATCAAAAAAAAAAAAAAAAAAATAGAAGTTAAGCTGGGCCGGTGGTGGCACATGCCTTGAGTCCCAGCACTAGGGAGGCAGAGGCAGGTGGATCTTTGAGTTCTAGGACAGCTTGGGCCATGAAGAGAGCCTATCTAGAAACTGCCACCCCCCTCACACATAAGTCAGAGTAATCATCTACTACCTCTGGTTCTTCCAATCTCTCCACTTCTGCAGTGACCCCAGAGCTGAAGTGGTGGATAACTAGAAGGAAAGAGTGTCTTCTGTGCACAGAAGGAGAGTTGCACAAGTGATCTCCCAGAGGTTGTGACAGCATGCACAGCTTCTGCCCAAGCTCACACAAGACAGTCCCAGCATAGAGAGGAGAGATAGGTACAAAGTTGCATCCTCCACGTTCCTGTGGATGGACACACATCCAAGGGCAAACAGGCAGCACAGTAGTATTTCCTGTTGTCTCGGGTGCTGAGGCAGGAGGATTGCTTGAGCCTGAGTAACATGGTGACATACCATGTTATATTTATACTTAAAAAAACTTTTTCTAGGGGGCTGGAGAGATGGCTCAGAGGTTAAGAGCATTGTCTGCTCTTCCAAAGGTCCTGAGTTCAATTCCCAGCAACCACATAGTGGCTCACAACCATCTGTAATGGGGTCTGGTGCCCTCTTCTGGCCTGCAGTCATACACACAGACAGAATACTGTATAAATAAATAAATAAATAAATAAATAAATAAATAAATAAGTAAACCTTTTCTACTGGTCATTGGCAACACACCTAGTCCCCCAAGAGCTCTAATGGAGATTTACAATGAAATTAATGTTGCTTTCATGTCTGCAAATATAGAAGACCCAGGAATCACTTCAACTTTTAAACCTTATTATTAAAGAAATGCACTTTACAAATCTGTAGCATCCATTCCCATTACAGACTGAGGAAATTATGTAATGACATTTTTGAAAGAAGTTGGCACTTTAGATGTTTTGATTCATGATTTATGAGAAGAGATCAAAGTATTAATATTAACAGGTGTCTCAGATGACGTTGAGGGGTTCAAGGCTTCAACAGAAGTGACTGCAGATGTGGTAGAAGCAGCAAGAAAGTGCGGAGCCTAAGGATGTAGCTGGATTACTGTGACCTCGTGATAAAACAGCAGATGAGGAGTGGCTGTTCTGTTTTTTTGGAGACAGGGTTTCTCTATAGCTTTGGAGCCTGTTCTAGAACTCACTCTGTAGACTAGGCTGGCCTCGACTCCCAGAGATCTGCCTGTCTCTGCCTCCTGAGTGCTGGGATTAAAGGCGTGCGCCACCACTGCCTGGCCGAGGAGTGGCTTCTTGAGATACAACCTGTATAGTGACAACGAAAGATTTAGACTATTACAGAAGCTTAGCTGATCCATGGCTGGAAGGGAGCAGCTCCATTGGAAGAAGTGCTATGCTACCAAGCAGTATTAGTATTTCAAGCTACAGACGATCATTCCTAAAAGTTAATCACTGATGTTAAAAACAACAACAAAAAAAAAACAAAATAAAACAAAACTGTTACAGCCACTCCAATCTTCAGCAACTCAGCAAGACTTCTTCCAGGAAAACAGCCACACTGGATAAAGGGGCAGATATAGCACTATTTAGCTTTTAATAATGTATTTTTTAAATAAAAAAATCTATGTAATTCTTTTAGACTTAAGCTACTGCACACTTAACAGAGTATACATTTAAAGAATGTAAAAATAAAAATTTAAAGAAGACAGTGAGTGTTAAAGCAAAAAATGATTTTACTCAATGTATAATTTTTGTTTATTAATTAAGTTTAGATTGGCTGGGGTGTGTGCCTGTAAACCTGGCATTTAGGAGGTAGAGGCAGGAGGATCAGGAGTTCCTGTCTTGGAAACAAAATTTTTATATGCATTGGAAAACTACAGGATTATATATCTCACTTTATTGTGGCAGTTTAAAACTGAATCAACAATATATCTAAACTGCTTGGCCAATGTTGAACTGGGGCCATAATCTCAAATTACAATTCCAAATGCCATTAGCAAGAATGCTGAACTCCTGAAATGTCAGTCCCCAAGGTCTACATGATACAAAAAACATATTTGGAGTGGGTACAAAGCTAGGTATGCGTGGAAGCCAGCACCCTAAATAAGATTTTAAAAAATTAAAAATAGTAAACTGGGAAAAAGGGCAAAATTTAAGTGATAAATAAAAAAGGCCAAACAACAAAAATAAAAATGATATTTAACAAAAGCCACTTCACATAAAGAAAATTAATTTCCAGTTTTAGAAACATTTTAAAGTTCTTTACACATACCATCTGGTTTTTTTTTTTAAATTTTGTTTTGTTTTTCGAGACAGGGTTTCTTTATGGAACCTTGGCTGTCCTGGAATTCACTCTGTAGACCAGGCAGCCTTGAACTCAGAGAGATCTGCCTGCCTCTGTCTCCCAAGTGCTAGGAGTAAAGGTGTGTGCCACCACCGCTTGGCCCCATTTGTTTTAAAGAATATAAAAATAATAAAAATTTAAAGAAGACATAGTATTCGTGTAAAGAAAATATTTTACTCAACGTATATATTATAGAGAACCAGAGTTTGTTATTATTAGTATGAAACATTATAGTATATTATGTTTCACATTTTGATATTTGCTCTTACTTTTGTCACTGAAATTAATTTTTATGACAAACATCTATGTAGTGATATTTTGTTATGTTTTAGCAAATACAGTTTGCCTGAAGATCAGAGTGTTGCGTTAAACCACTAGAGGTCAGGCGGTGGTGGCTCACACTTTTAATCCCAAAATTTGGAAATCCTATGCCTTTAATCCCAGAACTAGGGAGGTGGAGACAGGGCTGTAAGGGCCGAAGAGACAGAGCTTGGTGCGGGCTGAGGTGCAGTCTGAAGCAGTCAAAGGACGCAGTCCGAGTAGGCAGTCCGTCTGAGGACTCCTTAGAGGTAAAAGGTCTCTCTAGTGGCTCACTGCACTGCTTCTCAGATCTCTCAGCTTTCACTCTCTAATATCCTACTCCGGGTTATTATTAAGAACAATTAGAATTCGTACTACACATCTACAATGAAAATACGACTTCCTGCTTTTCCTATCAGTCTCAAGTTTAGAGTTTTGCTGTCTGAACTGGGATCTCAGCACCCTTCTAATTCTAGGATTATAATGATTTACCTAGCAATTACAGCTGCTGGTAATTAGATAGTGCTCTGCCCATAACAGCTTCCAATAGCTACGTAATCAACCATTTTGCACTGTTAAGTAAAAAGAGTTCAAAGAAAACTGGGAATGTTATACACCGATAATAAATATAAGATGATTTTTAAACTTCGGTCATATAAAAATATATACGTACCAGTAGGAGATGTTTGCTTGGCCAATAAATGTGTAACTGTAGTATATAATTAAGTCCCACTGAAGAATGAGGTACCTGTGGCTGCTAATTGTGATGTGGAGACGATTAAAGTAATACCACTTTACAAAACATCGCTTGAGCCAGAATCAAATCAATCAGTACCTGAATACTTAGAACCCAAACCACAGAGAAACATTTCCCCACAAATTATTTCAGGGACCTACAGCTGCCAACAGTTATATGTTTTGTGCATGAAAAACATAGATTACATGAAGCGCCCCCACCCCCCACCCGGGTGGCAAGCCCACAGCCTCACGGGTAGGATGCCAAGCAGGATTATTTTTCCCTTCTCCATCTTTCCTAGAGCATCAGGTTTCGGTCGCCCGCATCGTCGCCCAGGTGAGGTCAGTGGTCAGAGACACCTGGCCTGCTTTCCCCTAGCGGAATCCGAGGCTGGGGTCCCCACCTGGGAGAGGAGGCGACGCGTCTCGCACTTTGCCCTAAAGCACAGCAATGCTCAGGTTCTGCTTTCACCGTGTCCACCGAGCAATGAGGCTGTCAGCAAGGCGTCCCGTAAGGGAACAATAATCAAATCAATTAAGCACGACGTACAAAGGCGGCCAGCGGGACAGGCTGTGAGCAACTGCCCCAGCGGAAGCATCCAGGCCGGCCTCAGGCCGCGGCTTCTCCCGCAGGCGGCGAGGGAGAAGGGGCCGGGTCCGCCCAAGCCGCCGCCTGAGGCCGGCCCGCCGAGAGCGTCGGCACCGGGCGAGCCCCCGCGCCCCCGCCCGCCGTTGTCATGGGAACCAGGTCTGTCCGCCGCCGCCGCCCTAAGGGAGCGGCGGCCCCGAGAGCCCCGGACGCTCACCGCGCCGCCGGAGCCGCGCTGCGCCGCTCCTCGCCGCCCGGGCCGCGCTCTGCCGCTCCGAGCTCCTCCGCGCGCCGCCCCAGCCGCCGCCCGCGAGCTCCCGCCCGCTCGCCCGCCGCGCGGGTGCGCCGAGGTGCGGGCTTCGGCGGCGGGAGATTTAAAGCCACGCCCGGCGAGCTCCGGAGTTATCGGTCTCAGCTGGCGAACTCCGCCCGCCCTGGAGGAGTTCGCGGAGGTGACAGCCACGGTGGGCGCGTGGAAGCCCGGGCCGCCCTCGCCTCCCAGCCCCCGCCTTCCCCGCGCCGCCTGTGCGCCTCGGTCGCCACTCAGTGCTGGTGCTCAGCGCGCGCAAAGGCTTCGCGTGGGACTTTAAACCCTCATTTTTAAAAGGTGTAAAGAGGGGCAACTGTTAATAACTGACTTCAAAAGGCCCTATACAAAATTGTAGTGCCGCGTGTGACAGTGAATGATAAACCAGTTTTCAGAGTAAAAAGCAAATTCTGAGCCTGAAAATCTCAGAAAAGAATGGAAATGAGCGGTGGCGGGGAGGAGGCAGATATCCTTAATAAATAAATAAATTTAAAAAAAAAAGAATGGAAATGAGGCAAAAGGAAAATTGTTTTGATAGGGAATAATAAACTCAAAATGCTCCCCTTTTCAAGTTTGACACCCAAGTTCACCTTTCCTATAGGGTACAGTACACAAGTTCATTGTGTATAAGATACACAGGCTAGCAAGAAAAACACCCAAAGCTTACACTTGGGATAAATAGTCTTGAGGAATTATGGAGAACTACGTGAGGTAAAGGTCCAGGTAAAATATTAATTACGAAGCGCTCGCTGTAAAATCAGAAAAAGAGATACCTTTTCTATAAAAGGCTGATTTGGACCAAAACTTTTCAGTTGAATTGAGATCCTTACCCAGATATTTGAATTTCAAATAATGGGCAAATACTTGAAGCTATATACATTTTTTGCCACCCGCTCCCCCCACCCCCAATGTGTCAGTAGCATTTCTTGCTGTTAAAGTCCAAATCCTTGAAGGATTACGGATTAGCAGGTGGCAGACATAGTTAATTAACTGTATGTCCTCGGATCTTTCCTAGGCCATATAGAGATGGGTAGGTGGGTCCCCAGTTTTTTCTAAGGCTACAAAGAGTTCTAAACAGCCAGGTGCCCAGGGCAAGGAGTTAAAATGGCAGCCATTGCAATCTATTGAATGAATCCAGCTGTCAGCAAAACACAAGGTGAGCAAAATGAAAAAAAGACTCAAGCTGGGCAAAAACTGATGTGGGAGGTCACTTAGTACAACCAAAGCTGTATAGCCCGCAGTGCTGACCATCTGTGTAATGGAGGCCCCTGTGATTTAAGCTAGAAAGGTCCTATGGACAGATGGCCCTGCAGGAAGACTGGAATAACCTACCTCCACCACACCCTTAGCAGCTGCAGGCTGACAAACTCATGGCAGCCTTTTAACTCCCGCAGGATAGGAAAGCAACCCACCCGCTTGATTCAATTTAGGTTGCTCAATGTTCTTCCCCTCCAGCTCCAGGTTAACCCCACTTTAGGCATTAAATTTTGTTTTGAAGACAGGTCTCACTGTGGAGCTCTGGCTGTCCTGGAACTATGTAGAGCAGGCTTGCCTTTGTCTTCCGAGTGTTGGCATTAAAGGCATGGGTTACTAAGCCGGGCTTTCATGCATTATTTGTAGGTACACACACAGATTCAGTCCACGAGGGCTGCCTGGCTCTCTTAACAGAGCAGACAAGGCCTCCAGTTTTGGCATTGTTCTTCAGAGGAAGAGAACTAGACTCTGGTGGAGTCAGCCAGCTCCTATATGCTCTCGAAGAATACTATCTTCAAGGAGACAGACCGTTGGGAGGTTTGCCATGCTCCAGCCTCCAGGACTTGCAGCTGCGAAGAGGAAGGACGTGTGTGTGTGTGTGGTGGTGGTGGTGGGGGGGAAGCACGGAGTGGGAGGATCTGAACCTTTCCTGTCCCAGTCTTTCCATACTTTGGTGGTAGATGGAAATTCATTCTTGCAGCTGCCTCCAATCTGAGACTCCGCCAGCGACTTTTAAGTCTAGCCTCTGATATCTGCCTTAATTTCATTAGTGACCTGCTGTCTGCAGACCGCACAGAGCAGAGCCAGTCCCTCAGTTGACATTCCACTGTCACCAAGACTCTCAATTGCTACTTTCCTGTTTGAATTGTTCCCGCATGGCAATTAAGTTTCCTTTAGGTATACACCCACTCCATTCCAGGGAGGGCAAGACAAGAACTCATAGAACAGACGGTCCCAATATTGTTTGGGATCCCTTCTAACCAGCTTATTTGGCCTCTTAACACCTCGTGTAGGTTTCCTCAGAATTCAAATGTGTCAGTGCAGTGCCTGCAGAGGCACAGGGAGAGGAGTTTGGGCGCTGTCGCTCACGCTGGAGTAGACCTGTCATTGTGTCACCATGCTCCTAAAGTATGTCTGATAAACTCAGGCTTCACTAAGCTGGTGGAATCCTCTTTGGTCCACTGTCTACAGTGAACAGATGTGTTCGTCTCCCCAGGAAGTTACACAGAACATGTGTATCATGTTTATGTACCAGTCTGTTCTTTCCCTTAGATGCTTCACTGTTCCAGTCTCATGTATTTCTGCAGACTTGCCTACTAGCACTTTGCCTAATGCATCATTAGGTCCCTTTATTCCCATCTTTATTCTAATGAATGAAGCAAAACAAAGTTGCCTAACGGTGAGCTGACAGGTATTATAATTTTTTTTCTAGACAGGGTTTCTCTGTATGTATCCCTGGCTATCCTGGAACTGGGCCTAATTTTAAATTTAGGAAGTTGCTGAGTGGTGTTAGTAGTAGTTCATCCTGATTCTGATTTTGAACTAGTTATGAAGCCAGTCATGATTTGGAAGTCCTAAAGCTCTTGCTTCCAGTAAGTACTGGGGTTACAAGCATGTGCAATGATGGTTTTCTGAAACAAGGTTTCTCTGCGTAGCTCTCTGGCTGTTTTGGAGCTCACTTCGTAGACCAGGCTGGCCTCAAACTCAGAGGTTCACCTGCCTCTGCCTCCCGAGTGCTGGGATTAAAGGCGTGTACCACCACTGCCTGGTGCAATATTAGTCTTTTCTAGGTTTTTCTTCAAATAGAAAAAAGAAGGGACAAAGTTACTTACTGTATTTGTAATATATCCTTTTATAACAGTTCAAAGGCAAATTTTAATTTCAAACCAGTATTTTTAAAAGTGTACTTTAAAACTCAATTAAATTTTTGGGGTCTGCATAGGGTAAACAATTCAGACCACACATTTATTGTGTTTTATAAAAAGGAAAGACAAAGAGTAAAATGCAGCTATTATGAAAGATGAACCATTATACACATATTAAAGGGCTGCTTCCTATCTCTGCATTGACAGTGGTATTGGAGGACTAGCCACTGACTTCTTTCTCTTTGAGACACTCATGCAATTCTGGCTGCCTAAGATTAGTTCACTATACAGTGGGGTGTGGATGACCTTGAACTTCTGATTCTCTTGCTGCTAACCTCCCAGGTCCTGGGATTACAGGAATGCCCTACCACACCGACTTTCTTTCCACGTGTTAGAGACAGGACTCAGGGCTGAGCTATATCCCCAGTCCTCTCCAATTTCATTCACAGTCTATGACACAACGGTAAGACACGGAAGACAAAACAAAACCCAACAATGTTTGTGAACAATCCTTCCTGTTCAAGCCCCTACATGGGAAGTAGTAGGTGAGTATCTGTAGGAATACAATTTGTTGTCTGCTCCTCCACTCAGAAGTAGCTGTGTGAAAAGAGAGAAAAGTAAATATAAGTATACAGTAGCTAGACATGATTAAATACGACTTTCATTTTGTTTTTTTTGAGAGAGGATCTGTGTAGCCATAGCTGTTCTAGAACTTACTCTGTATACCAGGCTATCCTCAAACTCACAGAGATCTGCCTGCCTCTGCCTCCAAATGCTGAGATTAAAGGCACATGCCACCACTGCTTGGCAAGACATTGCCCACACGAAGTGTGCATATGAATATATATACAAGATATGTATGTATATGTGTATATATATCTTGTATTCTGACCATATTTTCTATCTATACCCAAACAGTTTTGCTTCTTCTTTGATGTCATATACATAACACAAACGATTTGATGTATGTTAAACTGCACAGCTTGAAACAGTATTTAAGGGGACATATTAAAACAAACATCTCCGCTACTAGGTTGATCATCCCCAAATCAAAGGTCTGCAGTGTAGGTTGGAGATGTAGCTCACAGGTAGAGCACATGCTGATACACACAAGGCTTTGGGCCAATTTCAACGATGTAAAGATGCGTTGCTTTGCCTGCCTAAGGCACCTGGTTGGTCTAATTAAAAAACCAAATGGCCAATAGCTAGGCAGCAGAATCAAAAGGAAGTTCACATTTAGGTTTGGGACCCATTCTAAGATATCTCATAAATGTGCAAATATTCCAAAATCTGAAAAGCTGCACATCCAAAGCATTTCCGATAAGGAACACTCAATCTACATCACTATACAGTGTACAAAATATTAAAAACAATCAATTATTTTGGTTGAGACACATCATGTTATTTTACTTCCAATGAAGTATTTGCCAAGGTATATAATAAACTAAAATAGTTTTAGACTTAAAAAAAAAAAAAAACAACAACAGGGGGCTGGAGAGATGGCTCAGTGGTTAAGAGCATTGCCTGCTCTTCCAAAGGTCCTGAGTTCAATTCCCAGCAACCACATGGTGGCTCACAACCATCTGTAAAGAGGTCTGGCGCCCTCTTCTGGCCTGCAGGCATACAGACAAAATATTGTATACATAATAAATAAATATTAAACAACAACAACAACAACAACAACAAAGGCTCCGTTTGCTTTTTGAAGATAGGTTTTTACACTATAGCCTAAGCTGGCCTCAAATTTGCAGCAATGTTCTTGCTTCAGCCTCCCTAGAACTGAGATTACAGGTGTGAGCTACCACATTTAGAAATAATCACGTTGTAAAAGAGTATATTATTTTCAGGCAAATGTACACTGCAGATTATATCAAGTAGCTCTAGGACCTACATTCTGAAAGAATTCTTGGACAAGAGATAACACATGCACATAAAAATGATTATAAATTTTTTTTTTTTTTTTGTTTTTTGAGACAGGGTTTCTCTGTAGCTTTGGAGCCTGTCCTGGAACTCACTCTGTAGACCAGGCTGGCCTCAAATTCACAGAGATCCTCCTGCCTCTGCCTCCTAAGTGCTGGGGTTAAAGGTGTGCACCACCATTGCATGGCTGATTATAATTCTTGAAGTACATTTTTTAATCCATTTCTATTATGTAGAATTAATTATGTAAACTACACATGCAATTCCAGCACTCGGGAGGATGAGGTAGGGGAGGCTGCTGTTAGCTTGAGGTCAGCCAGGACTACATATCAAGACCTGGTCTCATCACAAAAAACCTTCTAAAACAGGTATTTCAAACTAGAAATACTGTGATACAATCAATTTGAAGTAGTGAATTTATGGACCATATGGGATTTGGATATATAGCCAAGTAGTAGCCCACTTGCCTAGCATAGGTGAACCCCTGGGGGTTCAGTTCCCAGAACTGCCAAAAGAAACAAAATGATATATTAGGTGGGGAAAAAAAGACTTGCTTTAAAACTTCAACTTTTGTTACTCTTAAAGAGCAAATCTGTTTTCAGTTTTTTGGTATGAGATGTAAAAACAATTTTTTTGTAGCACAAGCCTGTAATCCCAGCACTCAGGGGGCAGACACAGGCGGAGCTCAGAGTCTGAAGTCAGCAGTGTCTACACGGGGAGTTCTAGACAGCCAGAGAAAGACCAGATCAGATCAGACCAACCAGAAAGATCCTGTTAACTTTAAGCATAAGGTCTATCCTTTCTTCACCAAGTAATTTGTAAGTTCTTACCCCTGTGTCTGTCCAGTCCACACTTAGAACTTTGTCTTCATGAGCAGCTAGATCATAGAGAGGAGCCTTACAACTAAAGATGAAAATACACACGTTACATGCATGCAGTGTTTCAATACAAACATACAATTAGTAATACTTCTCATTTATTATAACAAACACTCAAGAAAAATGCTATTTAAATACAAAAATTTATTCACAATAAGGTCAATTTCACACTTTTATACTTTATATTTCTATCCCAAATCTTTTCCTTAAGTTTGGTATGTTTATATTCCTAAATACATAAAAGCCAGATGGGCAACAGACACAATCAAATCAAAACTCTCAAATTTCCCTCATAAACCTATTTTTCTAAAATATAAAAACAACCACTTAATTATTTTGTGCATGGGGTTTGCTGTGCACCATACACTCATGCCGTGCCACAGCGGTCAGAGTTCCAGATTTCGGCTCCCATTACCATCCAGTCCTGCAGGGGGATCCAGATAAAGGATAAAGTCCCCAGTGCTAAGACTACCAGCATGCCCAACACCATTCACGTTGTTTATCTAGGTTCCAGGGTCCTCATGTGTGCAAGGCCAATGCTCTACTTACTAAGCTATGCCTACAGCCCAATCCTGGGACTTTTTTTGAGTATTAGTATTTGTCACACGAGGTAGTATGAACCAAACCTGGGTCTTCTGGAAAAACAGCAAGCGCTCTTAATTGCTGAACCATGCTCCAAGTCCCAACATTTACCTTCTTGTGTCCCACAGCTTGACAATGTTATCTAGAGAGCCTGAAATCAGCTGCTGTTCATGGGTAGGAGACCACTTCACTGATGTTACCCAGCCTGTATGTGAGGTGAGGGACAGCGACACCAAAGAACCATCTGGATGAAGACGAAGAAAATGCAGTGGTTTTAGGAAAGAGAAGCAGAAGACACCGAAAGAATTTTCATAGAAACTTATCCTTTTAAATATTCCCCACTGGATACAACATACCTTTAGTTCGGGGATCCCACAGTCTAATATGCCTATCTGTGCTTCCAGAGGCCAAACGTTTACAGAGGGGAGAATAGGAAATACAATTAAACACTTTATTTCCTGTCTGAAAATAAAAGGAAAGAACATTTAACCAAAGAGAAATTTATTACTGACAAGCTCAATGTTAACTAGAGGAACACCAAAATTAAGTCTTACCAAAGTTGACTTAAGGCCACCAGACTCAACATCCCACACTCTAATTGTGTGATCCCAAGATGCACTGCAGATTTCTTCAGTATCGGACCAAAGCACCGAGGAAACTGCTTCAGTGTGGCCAGAGAGGGTCACCAAGGGAGTCTAGAAATAAAAGGCCCCCAGAAGAGAAAAATATCTTCACCACAGAGTAACTGAAACAAGAGTAGATTTTAGGGTCAGGTGTGATGATGTACTCAGGAGGCAGGGGGATCTCTTGTGTTCCAGGCCAGCCAGGGATACATAATGATACCCTGCCAAAATAAAAGAGATGTCAATGTCTAAAGTAGATAGGCCAGATTTTTCCCCAGTGGATTATTGTTTTTATAGTAATTCTCCAAGATAGACATTTCTCTCTTTGTCTTATATATGAAGGGGCTCAGTGGATAAGTGTCAGCTGTCAAGACTGATGAACTAAGTTTAACCAAGGGACCCAAATGGTGGAAGGAGAATCAATTCCCAAAAATTGTTTTCTGACCTTACACATATGACATCACACACAGTAACATATACCACATAAACTAAAAATTGAAAAAGAAAATCTTGAAACTACTGGTTTCTACATATAAACAAGCTAAAAATATGACCAGGGATTTCACAATTCAGTATCAAAGCACTAACTAGGGCTTAAATTATATTCTACTGTATTTAAACAAAAACAAAAGTACAGTGCTACATAATTTCTTGTCTATTTTCAGACAATGTTTCATATAGCCAATGCTGGCCCCAACTCACTATGTAATTGAAGTTGGTCTTGAATTCCCAGTTCTCCTGCCTCTACCTCCCTAGTGCTGGGATCATAGGCATGTGGCAGTATGCCCAGCTCTAAATGATACACTTTATTTAAAGTCAGGGGATAGAAAGATGGCTCAGCAGTTAAGAGCATTGGCTATTCTTCCAGAGGACCTGGATTCAATTCTCAGTCACTCACATGACAGTCCCAGAGGATCTGATGCCTTCTTCTGGCCTCTTCAGGCAACAGAATGCATACAATATAGAGACATACACTCATACTCATAAAAATAAATACATTTTAAAATAAATTTATATATAAGTTAGTACATAGCTAGATGCAGTGAGGCAAGCGCTGTAGTTCTGGGTACTGGAGAGGTTCCAGCAAAAGGACTGGTTGAGCCCAGAAATTTTAGGACAGCTTGGGCTACACAGGAGCTCTTCTTGCTTTCAAAGAGGCATACATTAAGTATGTTAGATAATGTCAGCCAGTTATAGCTCTAAAAAAAAGTCATTATCTCAAGTACTTGTAGGCACGTGGAACCCAAAGTTGGGAAACTTACAACACCTAACATTCAACAACAAGGAACACCTGCACAGCATCTGTCTAGCATACACGAGGCGCTAAATTCAATCCTTTCCTTAAAGTTCTAATTTGTAAGCATGTGTCTTCATTCATAGCTTTTAAAAATGTTTTTATTAATTGATTGATACTTGTTTCTTTAAGACAGGGTTTCTCTGTGTAGCTCTGGCTGTCCTGGAACTCACTCTATAGACCAGGCAGGTTGGCCTTGAACTCTCAGAGATCCACCTGTCTCTGCCTTCCGAGTGCTGGGATTAAAGGCGTGCAGCACCACTGCCCAGTACGCTTAAGCTTCTTAATGTATGTTAAACTTTAATTAAGAGCAAACAAACATAAAACCAAAACTACTGATTTCAGTGAGAAAATCTGTGTATAGGGTTTCTGTCTGCATTGTCACCATGTGCACGCCTGATGCAAGAGGAGGCCAGAAGGGGGCATTAGATCCCCTGGATCTGCAGTTACAGGAAATTGTGAGCTGTCATTCAGAAATGAGAAATCAGCCTGGGTCCTCTGGAGCTAGTGGTCTATTCTGCTGAGTCATTACTCTGTCCCATCTTAGTTTCAACAGTTTTATATTTATGTTAGTGATGACTATAATAACTAATGTATGATCATACGCTCAATGGCACAGCTGACTCACCATTCTCCTTTCCATTAAATAAACAAGGTTAGATAGCATAACAAACACCTTTATATCAAAACGGGATCAAAGTCAAGCTCATACAAGCAGACAGTAGTCATCGCCAGATTTGGTAGAAATGGGAAGATATCAGTCAAAGAGCACAAACTTTGTTATAAAAAACTGAAGAGCTAGTGCACTGTGGGAGGTGATGGACATAGTAATTTGAATATGATAATCACTATGTAAGTGTATCTAATTACATCAAATATATTCAATCACGATTTAAGGTGGAAGAAAAAAAGTCAGGTATAGTGACACATTCTTGAGTCCCAGCAACCAGGAAGCTGGAGAACTACTGTAGTTTGAGACCAGTCCAAGCCAGTGAGTTCCACATTAGCCTAAGCAAGAGTCCGTCTCAAACTAAACAAACTCTGTTTAATGAGATCTAACTGCTAAACAACAGAATTAAACTTCACATTAATGACTTCTAGTGATTCAGGATACAACTAGCAGCTCTAAAATGGATTTTATCTTCAGTATATGAAATAAATAGTATTAGACAGTCAGATAATTACTGCCAATCAAGAGTTAATGATAAAAATGTACCATGATAACCCTATCACTCTGTAAGCTTGATTCAGATGTTACACTATCCAAATTCTCAGAAAAAAAACCAGTACATACTGAAGGAAAGCATAACCATGGTTGAAGCAACAAGATAAAGGAGAATACAGGCAAAACAAGGAGGTGGGTGGAGAGCTAGCTCAGCAGTTAACAGCACTGACTGCTCCTCAGAGGACCAGGGTTCAATTCCCAGGACCCACATGGTGGCTCACAACTGTCTGTAACTATAGTTCCAGGGGATCCAACACCCGTACACAGGCAAAATACCAATGCACATAAAAATAAAAATAATTTAAAAAAAAAAGATTTGCTGAATTATCATAATTTCATCAAACAGACCAAAGCCAAATATAGTCAATGCTCACAAATACTTTAACAGACAGACTATTACAGAAAACGACAATTAGTCAAATGCAGAAAATAACTGATCATGGGATGCCCAGCTCCAATGGATACATCTACAACACAACTTGATTGTTAAAAGCCTGAGGACCATGAAATCTGAGATTGTCTCTCTTAAAAATGACAGGGAAGCTTCATCAATGACAGCCTCAGCAGTAGGGCTGCCTAACTAAGACTGGACAAGGACTCTATCACTAGCCATGCTAACACAGAGGGAGGAAATCTCATGGGGCCTCACACTATGGAACTAAGGATGAGAATGATAGAAATATTTTCTTCCAGAGATGAGCTTCTTAAGGATGTATACATGGAAGGAGTTGGAGGTTGGCTAGGAAAGGGAGAAAATGATGTGATTATTATTTTAATTAAAACAAAAACAAACTTACCCTTGTTAGCCCCAATTGCTCTGTTTTCTGCTTTTTTCTTGGCCGATTTGTGGATTCTTCTATTTCATCTTCTTCATCTGTAGGAACTACATCATAGAAAATAGTATTTAATATTGAAAAATTTAGTTATTATTAATGGTAAACTTCAAGAATGTCCTACATTTTGGGTATACAGTTTTCTTTTTTGACTAATTAGGGAATGTATATTCCTTGTTGTTTTGGTTAACACAAACTGTATATAAACATTCTCTCTGACCACTGGGGACTGTAGCAATGTTAAGCACCTGAGCAGCACACACGCGGTCCTAGACTCAATTCTTAGTAGCAGCAAAAGTAAAAACATTTCCTGGATTGGCAATCAAATATGGAAAAGACTGTTTTTTTTTAAAAAGCATATTAAAAAAACTCAAAATTAAACTGTTTGAAATCTTACTGTTTTTATGCTCATTGTTAAGAATATGGACCATTTTATCAGAATGATGAAAAGCTGCTTCCTGTTCAATTTAGACTAAGTTACTATGGCCATATTATACTTATGCCATGCAGAAAATAACGTAAACACAGGTTAGAAGATGTACTTTAGCCATGCTTAATCTCACTATTTCCTTTTTTAAAAAATAAAAATGCTTCATAGTTGTTTTGTAGTGCTAGAGATCCACGCTAGCGCCAGGCAAGTACTTTATCAATGAGTTATTTATGTCCAGGTCCTTGGATAATTCTTAATTCTTTTTTTATTTGGAAAGATCTTTGTTATAAACATCATTTAGTCAGGGAGAATACTAAGACTGAAAACTATAGATTTTAATATTTTGTAACTTTCATGAATATTGATTTATTTTTCCTAACTAGATTATAAATCCCTTAACAGTAATAGCTGTACCAAACAGTATCTCATTACCTGATACTATCAAAGAATAAGACATTTCATAAAAGGAAAACAATTGAAACTAAACTACATTCTTTTTCAAAAATTGTTTGCTTTAAGTATTTTTATAACATCTACTAATATGTATATTTTCTGCCATATTACACATAATTATTTAAAGTTGATTAAACTGGTTCTGAACTCATTAACTACTTTGAGATTTAATTGGGGTCTGAACTGTAAACAGCAATTCCACCAGAAGTAATGGGGTCTTTTGATCTTTTTACATATACAGCTGTTAGGTCTCAAAGTTTAAGAAGGTGTGTGGGTTTATCCCCATTCCTTTTGTTCCCATCAGCATTTCCTAACTTCTTTTAAGAATCTGTCCTCTCCTTCATCTGTATTTTCAAAATAAGCTGGTATGGTGGTGCATGATTGTAATCCCAGCATGAGGAACACCGAGGCAAGAGGATTACAAGTTTGAAGCCAGGATGTTTTATATGGCGAGTGCCAGGCTTCAGGACAGTGAGGGATCTATAAAAAGATCCTGCCTCAAACAGAAAATTTCAAAGACATTTTTATATGTATGCATGTTTTGTCTGTATTTATGTGTGTATACCACATGTGCCTGGTGCCCAGGAGCCAGAAGAGGGTGTCAGATCCTCTGACACTAGAGTTGAGGATAGCTGTGAGCTGCTATGTGAATGTGTGAGCTAATCTGGGTCCTCTGCAAGAGCAGCAAGTGCTCTTAATCACTAAACCATCTTTTCAGTCACTCAAAACTCATTTTTAAGTGACTTAAGATGAGTTAAAACTACTCAAAAAATAACTTCCAGGTTTTTTTTTTAATTAAGTGCATTCTCAGATATATATATATATATATATATATATATGTAGCAATCAGTGACTTTCAAATAAAAAGGTGGTAGAGTTCAAAAAGAATCAAAAAACTTAAAACAAATATAATTTGTCTTCATACTATACTTCTTTTTGTATATACTAAAATACTTTGGTCTATTTTTACAGCAAATATGAGAAGTAAAAGTTTCACTAAAATTCTAGAAACATGATTAATAAGTCAAAGTACAAAAAAATATTTATACCTGTAGACCAGATCTTTAGCATCTTATCCCAGGAGCCACTGCAAAACTAGATACATATGAAGGAGAAAGCATATGTAATAACTTACATTATTTGCCCCTTGCCCCCATTTTTACTTTCCAAATTTTGCTTTGCCTGTTTCATCTCTGTACACAGGCTCTGTAATCGTTACTACTCGATAATCATACTTGGCTTCCCAGTCTTCTGGAAGCTGTGGCCTTGATCTCCATGATAACCAGCTGCCATGCTTATAAGCGCCCGTGTCCCACACAGCTGCTTAGATCAGAGTGGGCAACTAACCTATACTGAGCACCTTTACAAATAAATCCTGAGAAATAAAGTTGGACATTTTCTAGGGGAAAGAAAACACATTTCCCTGCAAGGGACAAGGGATAAAACTAGAAGTATTTCATGTAGAGAACACCGGAATATGGCTCAAATCGAACACAAGTGACTTGGGAACACACAAAGGGTTGAGGTATGCCCGCTACATTTAGCTCTCATTTCAGAGCTTTGAGGCCCAAATGCATTATCACCTTCTTGTTCTGACTTGTTCGTTCTTTCTTTGGCTATTACAACTTTTCTTTTGTGTTTTTAACAAACTGAAGATGAGTTTCTGCCCATGTATAAGTAAAATATAGGTCTAACTTCCTAGTCAAAAGACAAGAATGGTTAATTCATGTAAATCTGTACTCAACAACATATAATCTCTGTGACTCAAGATAAATCATAAACCTTTATCATTGAGTGCATCAAACATTCTTTGTTACTCAAAGTTGCAGAACACTCATTTATTTATTTATTTGTTTGTTTGTTTATTATTTATACAGTTAGTCAGAAGAGGGTACCAGACCTCATTACAGATGGTTGTGGGCCACCATGTGGTTGCTGGGAATTGAACTCAGACCTTTGGAAGAGCGGGCAATGCTCTTAACCGCTGAGCCATCTCTCCAGCCCTTGCAGAACACTCTTTTTTTTTTTTAAATAAAATATTTCTTTATTTATTATGTATACAATACTGTATATGCCTGCAGGCCAGAAGAGGGCAGCAGATCCCATTACAGATGGTTGTGAGCCACCACGTGGTTGCTGGGAATTGAACTCAGGACCTTTAGAAGAGGAGGCAATGCTCTTAACCTTTGAGCCGTCTCTCCAGCCCCCCGCAGAACACTCTTAAATCTGAGATTCTCCAATGCAGCAAAGGGAACTTTCAAATAAAAGAGGGTCTGTAACCCTTCATAAGGCAATGAGATCATTACTTTTTGGTTTGTATCCATTTTGTTATAATAAAGAATAGGCCAGGCTGGGCAATGGTGGCTCATGCCTGTAATCCCAGTATTCGGAAGGAGGCTGAAGCAGGCCAGTCAAAAGGGATATGAGGCCAGACTGGACCACATAAGTAGAATTCCAGGACAACCTGGGCTACAGTGTTCTTTGATGCAGTGAGAACCTGCATCAAAGAACAAAAACAACAGACTGAGGATTTAGTTTCAGGTCAAGTATAAGATGTATGTTAACACTAATAATAAAATAAGCCGTTAACATTAGCCTTAGTGTGCTAAGGCTTGGGTATCATCTAGATGTTTAATAGATGACAGAGCACTTTAAGAGAATTTGATAAGGGCAGGAGAGATGGCTCAGAAGTTAAGAGCACTGACTGCTTTTCCAGGGATCCTGATTTCAATTCCCAGCAACCACACGGTGGCTCATGAGATCTGGTGCCCTCTTCTGGCCTGCAGGCATACATATAGGCAGAACACTGCACACATAATAAATAAATCTTAAAAAAAAAAAAGAATTTGATAAATTAAAAAAATTGTCAATGACTATTATTTAAGGTTATCTAAAGAAATTACTAGTTTACTTGGTAGGTCTCTCTCTCTCTCTCTTTCTGTAACCCTGGTTGTCCTGAACTCACCCTGTAGACCAGGTTGGCCTCAAACTCTGAGATCTGCCTGCCTCTGCCTCCCGAGTGCTGGGATTAAAGGTGTGTACCAACACCGCCGGGCTTATTCCAATTTTTAAAATGTAACTTATAGAATATAATAAAGACAGATATCTAGAAGAAGTAAATCTAATAAATATATCTATCTTATTGTATTTACTTTAGATATAAAGTCTTGCTATTTTTTAGGCTCTGATTGTTATGGAAGTTAGAAAATCATTAGGACTATATATGTATGTATATATAAAATGTTTACTCAGCTGCTTACATTCTAACTCAACACAATAGTGGCAACACACTGGCTACTCACTTTAGTTCCTGAGCTGTTGACTGCTATGGAGTCCACACTCCCAGCATGACCTCTGCAGCAGTGTAGGGCTTTCACTTTGTTCTTCTCCACATTCCATTCCCATAAGAGAACCGTCTGATCCATTGAGGCACTCAGTAGCAAGCAGGACAAACTGTCTGAAGAAAAGAGAAAACAAGAAACAAGTTAGTACAAAATCTTAACTGCATCTTATTTTGTAATCACTCAGCATCTTTGTGACTGTTTTAATAATAATCAGATGGACTGATTTTGAAAGAGAGTTATCATAGTAAGGAGGAAAATGCACCTGCAATCCCAGCCCTCAGGAGGCCGAGGCAGAAGGGTGGCAGTTCCAGGCCAGCCTGGTCTGTACAGTGAGATCCTGTGACCATACCACCCCCTGCTGTCGCCAAAAAGAAAAGATTCTTTAAAAGTAGGAAAAATGCGTTCAATATACTTAATAACTAGAACATGTACAGATAATTTTAGTAATGATTTACTTCTGTAAATTCCTGGATTTGAAGCTAGTAACAAGCCTCAACAGCAGTGTGCTTGCCCAGCACGCACAAAATCCTGGGTTCAGATTCCAGGATCAGGCAGAAACAAACAGCAATCTATGGATTTAAAAATTATTAATTCTTGCTGGATGGCGGTGATACACGCCTTTAATCCCAGCCCTTAGGAAGTAGGGGCAGGTGGATCTCTGTGAATTTGAGGCCATTCTGGACAGCCAGAGCTACACAAAAAACTAAAACCATAGAAACACACACACAAGTGCTTCTTTTTTTTTTTGGTATTTCTCCTTCCTTCCTTCCTTCCTTCCTTCCTTCCTTCCTTCCTGTGTTGTGTCCCCCTCCCCCCCCCAGGGTTTCTCTGTACACCCAATCACTCTTTAACTAGACTAAAATAAGTTCAATTTTAACTCTTAGGACTCCTTTTACGTATAATCCTACCTTTTTACTAGACTAAAATTAGTTCAATTTTAAGTCTTAGGGTTCCTCTTACGTATAATCCTACCTTTTTTCACCCAAGCCACATCTTTCACAACATCTGTATGTCCCGCAATTGTCATTATTGACTTTCCTTCCAAGGACCAGATCCGAGAGGTCTTATCATAAGAACCAGACAGGATCCTACAATGGGAAGAAATACTATGAAATACAATAAGATGATGACCAATTGTTTCTATGGTAATGGCAAAGTAAACTCCTCTTTAACATGAAGAACAAGATGTCAAAGCAGCAGCTCAGATGTTACACTAATTTTCTGAACCACTGAAACAATGAGATTTCACTTTTATTGTTGAAAATGCTATAAATTTCAAAGCAATACAAACTGCTTGTAAAGCCTAACATTCCTTAATTAACCACTGAATACTATTCAAAAGAAAAACAGGGAGGGCATATAGCTCAGTGGTCAGCACTTGTCCAGTAAGCAGAAGCCTCTCAATCTGATGTCCAGCACCACAGACATACACACCCCCTACAATACCAAAGCAAAAAGGAAAATCATGAAGAATAAAGAAAAACCAAGCCATGCATGGTGGCACACCTTTAATCCCGACACTTGGAAGACAGAAGCAGGAAGATCTCTCTGCTCTTGAGGCCAGCCTGATCTATATAGGAAGACACGCACGCACGCACCCTAAAACAAAACACTTAATAATAAATAAAAATAAAATGGCCCCGAAAAAGGAAAGATGGAAGTAAGGTACTCCTTTGATCAACTCCTAAGGTATTTTTCTTTTTTTTTTTTAAATATTTATTTATTTATTATGTATACAACAGTCTGTCTGCAGGCCAGAAGAGGGCACCAGACCCCATTACAGATGGTTGTGAGCCACCATGTGGTTGCTGGGAATTGAACTTAGGACCTCTGGAAGAGCAGGCAATGCTCTTAACCACTGAGCCATCTCTCCAGCTCTTTAAGGTATTTTTCTTTAAAGCCAGTAGGATTAGGATCAGTAGTAGCCATTTGCTTTAAGACAGTGGTTCTCTGGGCTGTGGTGGCGCACACCTTTAATCCCAGCACTTGGGAGGCAGAGGCAGGCAGATCTCTGTGAGTTCAAGGCCAGCCTGGTCTACAAAGTGAGTTCCAGGACAGGCTCCAAAGCTATAGAAAAACACTGTCTCAAAAAAAACAAAAAAAAAACAAAAAAAAAAGAAAAAGTCTCTCTCTAGTGGCTGGCTGCTCTACTTCTCTGATCTTTCAGCAAGATAGTGGTTCTTGCCAGGTGGTGGTGGTGGGTGGTGGTGCATGCCGTTAATCCCAGCACTCGGGAGGCAGAGGCAGGAGGATCTCTGTGAGTTTGAGGCCAGCCTGGTCTGCAGAGCAAGTTCCAGGACAGGATCCAAAGCTACAGAGAAACTCTGTCTTGAAAAACCAAACCAAACCAAACCAAACCAAACAAACAAACAACCCCCCCCAAAAACAAACAAACAGAAAAGAAAAAAAGACAATGGTTCTTAACCCATGGGTCAAGACTCCTTTGGGGGTCACATATCTGATATTCTGCATATCAGATATTTCCAATTCAAAACACTAATAAAATTACAATTATGAAGTAGCAATGAAATAATTTTATGGTTGGGGTCACCACAACATGAAGAACTATATTAAAGGGTCACAGCATTAGGAAGATTGAGAACCGGTGCTCTAAGACATTCATCCATACCTCCTTGACTTCAGGCTGCCCATGTTAGCCCTACAGTAGCATGCCTGAATCTTCATGGTGGTAGGTTAGGGGGATCTGCAGCCCTAATTTTTTTCTCCTCTATGAAGCAGTGTGTATCTCTGGTCTTAAGTATCAACGACTGCTGACTTATATAAATACAAATATCACAACATTTTGAAACAAAGAAAATCTAATAATAAACACTTTTTTCTTCTTCAATGCACTGACTGCAAATGCCTGTTTGGCATGGTCGCCAATACACACAGCACAAAGTTGCTTTTATGAAAAAAAGGAATCAGAGAGAAACAGTCACATTGTGGATGACAAAGACTGAAGAATGTACATAAGAAAAAAGAATCGGGCTGCAGAGATGGCTCGGGTTAGGAGCACTGATTAGAGGTTAGGCTCACAACCATCTATAATGAGATCTGGTGCCCTCTCCTGACATGCAGGCAGAACACTGTATACATAATCATGAATAAATCTTGAGAGAGAGCCGGGCGGTGGTGGCGCACGCCTTTAATCCCAGCACTCGGGAGGCAGAGGCAGGCGGATCTCTGTGAGTTCGAGACCAGCCTGGTCTACAAGAGCTAGTTCCAGGACAGGCTCCAAAACCACAGAGAAACCCTGTCTCGAAAAAAAACCAAAAAAAAAAAAAAAAATCTTGAGAGAGAAAACAAAAAGCACACCCCCGGGCATACCATTCTTCTGTCCCTTCAATCGAGCTGATCCAGTCATCATGGAACATACACTGCTCTGGCTGGGGTGCGGTGTATTTTTCCACATATTCTAGTTCCACAACCTCTTCCTAGTCACACAGAGAACAGAAAATAAATCAGGGGGCAGTTTCAAAATATTACTTTGAAGACAGAAAATTTGGGAGCCACTTAAAAAGTCAAGGTTTTCTTTGGCCTCAGATTCGGCTAAGAATATAAAAATTAGTAGCCTCAGAAAACTTACGTTGAAAGTGGGAATAAAAGGGGAGCTTTAGAAAACATTTAGTTTTATCTTTAATTATGTGTATGTGCATGGGCACATGTGCATGAGGACGGGTGGAGAAGAGAAGCACTGTATCCCTTTGGAGCTGGAATCAGAGGCAGCTGTCAGCTGCCCAATGTGGGTACTGAACTCAGGTCCCCTGGAAGAACAGCAAGCACTCTTAACCACTGAGCCTTCTCTCTAGCCCCCAAAAGAGAGATTTTATGTAAGAAAATATTTAGATAAACAAAAATAAAAGCATATTTCTCAGTGAGGAGAGAACTCTGTTCAGGATGATGAAAGAGTTCAGGAAATGGGCAGTGGTGATAGTTGCACAGTACCATACTTCACATTACTGAACTGCACACTTAAAAATGGATAAAATGACAAGTTTGCTCTTACATATTTTATAACATTTTGAAGTCACAAAATATAGGAGAACTTACAAATTATATTGTAAACAATTTTATTACATTCATTTATCTTGTGTGAGTGTGCATCCATGCATTCCACAGTGCACACGGAGGTCAGAGGACAACTTGTAGGAATTGGTTCTCTCTTTCCACCAGGTGGGTCCTGGGGATGAACTCAGGTCATCAGGCTTTGTGGCCACTGCCTTTACTCAGTCAGACCATCTTGCTGATTCCAAATATTCCTTTTGTTTTTCTTGTTCCAGACAGGATCTCACTATATAACCCTGGTTAGTTTAGAACTCATATGGAGACCAGGCTAGTGAACTTACAGAGACCTGACTACCTCTGCCTCCTGAGTGCTGGGATTAAAGGTATGCACCATTACTCTTGGCTGTATTCCTTTTGTTTTAGATTTATTTTTATTTTGTATCTTGCCTGCATGTATATGCAGTGCCCAAGCAAGCCAGAAGAGGGAGTTAGATCTCCTGAGACTGAGTTACTGACAGTTGTGAGCCACCATGTGGGTGCTGGGAATTGAACACAGATCCACTGAAGAGTAGTTAGTGCTTTTAACCACTTAGCTATCTGTCCAGCTCCTGGTGATAGTCTTAGTTATAAAAACAACATTAAAGAAAGTTTGCTGGGTGGTGGGGCACACCTTTAATCCCAGCACTTGGGAAGCAGAGGCAGGCAGATCTCTGTGAGTGTGGGACCAGTCTGATCTACAGAGTTAATTCCAAGACAGCCAGGGCTGTCTTGAAAAACAAAACAAAACCAAAACCAACCAAACAAACAAACAAAAAAACAAAAGAAAGTTTAAAAATTATAGGGTATCACAATCACTATAACCTAACCCACATTTTCTGAGATATGTACAATGATGCTGTACTCCTGCACTTGCTAGCAGGCCTGAGGTCGTAAACTCAATCCCTGGGACCCACAGAAGAGCACTGACTCCCACTCTCACACTAACTGTTCTCCACCTTCACATGCAGGCTGTGGCACCTACACACACCATATAATATGTAAATAAGTAAATGTGATTTAAAAACGTTTTCTGAGACACTTAAAAAAAGTCAAAAGGCCAGGTGGTGATGGCGCACGCCTTTAATCACAGAACTCTGGAAGCAGAGGCCAGCCTGGTCTGCAGAGCAAGTTCCGGAATAGACAGGAGTACACAGAGAAGCCCTGTCTTGAAAAACAAACAAAAAACAACCAAAAAAAGAGGGCAAAATAATTTTGGGTGTTGAAAACAATTGAAGCTGATTCTATAAGCAGTTACTTAAAATATTTAGTAATATATTAAATCGAATATAAGCAGTACTTGGATTTACCGATGAAATATTTTCCAGTTCCATGTGTTTGACCAAGGGCATTCGAAGAAACTGGCCCTTGATAAGGAAATCGAACTCGACATGTTTGTGGAGCTCTGCAAAAGAGTAAGGGTTTTAAGAATATCAGCGTCACATGTTTGGGAGCCCCAAAGCAATCACGTCTGCAGTACCCATTGCTGTCCAGTTGTTCCACAACTTCTCAGGGCTCATGTAGCATACCGAATGACTTGTTTTTGTTAAGACAAGGTCTCTCTGTGTAACAGCTCTGGTTGTCTTGGAACTCACTCTGTAGACCAGGCTGGCCTCGAATTCACAGAGATCTGCCTGCCTGTCTCCCGAGCACTGGGATTACAGATGTGCACCACCACTGCCTGGCTGATTTCTGGCTTTTTGAGACAGGGTCTTTGGAACTCACTATGTAGACCTGGCTAGCCTTGAACTCACAGAGGTCCACCTGACTGTGCCATCATGGTGCTGGGATCGAAGGTGCGCACCACCATGCCACTTGGCTACATGATTTCTAAAGAACCAATATACTTTTCTCTTAACTTATACTTGGTTTTAAGGTGGTGTAATTATTTTAGGAGCCTGGGTTCAAACCCAGGTATATGTATGCTAAGCACACGTTCTAACACTCAATTAACTCATCTAACACCCTATTAATCTCATCTTTTTGTTTTAAAAGAATGGTTTATTGAGTACACAAGAGGTCAACAGACTAGAAAATAGCTTGAATACCACCTGAAGCCCATTCTTTGAGTTTTAAAAAGATTCCGTTATACAGAAATGTACAACATACATAAAAATATAAATAACCGTGAACACATACATCCTGCTTTAATACTAAACAACTCATCAATAATTTCTATTCCTGTCTCCATTCTCTTTTAAAGCAACCTCAGAAACCATACCATTTTGTTTGTAAATGGCTTTATTATGTGTCTCTAAAATATAAAAACTTAAAACACAATGTTAAATATTAACTATGGCCAGGCAGTAGTGGCGCACACCTTTAATAACAGCACTTGAGAGGCAGAGGCAGGTGGATCGCAGTCAGTTCGAGGCCAGCCTGGTCTTCTATGAAGAGACTTTCAGGACAGCCAAGACTGTTACACAAAGAAACCCTGTCTCAAAAAACAAAACAAACAGAAATTAGCCATGTTATTATCAAATACTCAGGTCATTATTCATGAGGGTTTTTTTTCTAATTAATGTAACTTATATTTTGAAACTGGGTCTTACTGTGTAGCCCACACTGGTTTCATACATACATAGCCCAGGCTAGCCTCTAGAGGCTAGACAGATAAATAGGGCTATCTCAGACTCATTGTCAGTCTCTAGAGCACTGTAACTGCAGGTGTGTATCATCAGGCACAGCTGTTCATTTTGTGTAGTAGGCTTTTGAAAGCTGGCACCTAACTGGTTAATGTGTTTACTCAATCTTTAAAACTCCCCCTCCTTTTTCTTGTCATTTCCTCACTGAGAAAAGCAGGTCAACATCTTGTATTTCTTACATTCTGGGCTTGGTTAATTACATCTCCAAAGTGTCTTTCTATTTTTTATTTTTATTATTGTGTATGCATGATGTGTGTTTGTGGGCGTGTACGCCATGGCACCCATGTGGTGGTCAGAAGACAACTTCGTGGAGTTGGGTCTCTCCACTTTTACTTGGGTTGTGAGGATTAAACTCAGGTCACCAGGCTTGCACCACTGGACAGCAAGCCTTTAGCTAGCTGAGCTATGTTGTGGCTCTACAGAGTGTCTTGTGTTCCTCTATCCTCTACTATATCATGTAAACCAGTGAGCCTTAAATGATTGGTAAGACTTCAGTTTCAACCACATCAAAACAAAGGCATTAACCAATTGTGTCTTCTTTTTTACATATGTGCGTGTGAGCATACGTTTGAGTGCATGAGTGTGTAAGTTCAAGGCTAATGTTGAATGTCACTCACCACCTTAAATATTAAGGCAAGGTCTCACTGAACCCAGAGCTTGATGTTGGGCTAGTCTGGCTGGCCAGCTCACTATGGAGACCACCTCTACTCCCAGTGTGCTGAGATTATAGGCGGGTTCACACCAGCCTGTCCTAGAGATCTGGACACTGGTCTTCATGCTTCCACAGAAACACTTCCATTCACTGAGCTATCTCTCCAGACCTTATTTTTTTCTTATAATTTATTTTTATTTTGTGTGCATTGGTCTTTTGCCTGTATGTACGTCTGTGTGAGGGTATTGGATTTTGAAATTACATATAGTTATGAGCAGAGATAGGTGAATCTCTTAGTTTGAGGTCAGCCTGGTCTACAGAGCAAGTTCCAGGACAGCCAGGGTTCTACAGGGGAAATCCTGTGTCAAAACAAAATTGTATTTATGTGTAGTTGGTGGCACTGTGTCCTCTCCTAACTTCTTGGAGCATATATACCTACCATTTTTGGTCCCCAGCAATTTATTGATGATGTTACTAAGGTCAGCAACTTCAGAGGCAGCGGGGATTGAGAAAGGAACATCATCTACGGCATAGCTATAAAAGGGAAATGATATGTCAGTATTATGTCTACACATATTTTGGCAAATCTCAATTTCTTCATTCAATAACTATTTACTGGGTCCTTCATGCCAGACATTTGCTACAAGGCAAAACCAAAATGATGTAAAGTGTCTTTATTCTCAAAGAATCAAGCAGGCACTTGGGAGGAAGAAGCAGATGGATCTCTGTGAGTTCAAGCCCAGCCTGGTCCACAGTGGAGTTACAGGACAGCCAGGCCTACACAGAAAAACAAACCAAAGCCGGGGGGTGGTGGCGCACGCCTTTAATCCCTCCCAGAGGCAGACCAAAGGAACTTACTCCTATTTCAGGCAGTGATTTTACTTTAAGAAGTGTTCAAAGATGAGACTAAAGGTACATAGTGTTTTAAATCCCATATACTATGAAATAGTTTTTAATTCTTTGTGTAGGCAACAAGGAACCACTGTAGCAGTCCAAGTTAAAGAATAACAGCAGTACTTTAGTTAGATCTTCATAGCTGTGCAAACTAAATTAGAATAATTTATGACCGGAGGCAGAATAAAAGACCCAAAAAGAAATAACATTTGCAAATCATTTATCTGGTAAGGAATTTGTATGCACAATATATAAAGAACATTCAGTAATGAAGTCTTTTTTAACAGGCAAGGGATTTGAATAGATGGTTTCCTAGTGAAAGAGCAAGGACCAACAGGCACAGAACCAAACCACAATGAATATCACTTTGTACCCATTATTGTGCAAATAAAGTGTTGGTGAAGATACATACAGAGAAAGAGGAACCCTCATTCACTGATGGTGGTAATGTAAAATGGAGTAGTTACTGTGGAAAAGAGTGTGCCAATAGCTCTAAGTTAAATGTGGACTTGCCATTTGACCCCAGAACAACACTCTGGGCATGGTGGCATAGGCCTTTATCCCAGCATTTGGAAGGCTAAGGCCAGTAGATCAGTGGGTAGGCCAGCCTTCGGTCACAGTGAGTTCCAGGCCAGCGAGGGCTGCACATAAAAGTGTACATAAATACTTGCACAGCCACTATTCACAATAGCCAAAAAACTGAAACAGCCTAAATGTCTAACAGGACAATAAGAGAAAACGAGCCATACAATGGGCTATTTAGCCATAAAATAAATGAAGTATTATGATAGTCTGCCTTATGTTTAAACTATAAAAAACACAGTAAGTGAACGATGCCAGCCACAAAAGACCACAGTTTGTATAATCTCATTACACAAAATGTCCAGCATGTACACATACACAGAGATGGGACGGCCTGTGGGTAAGTGGATGACAGAGGTGGGGCGTGTTTAAGGGACTGAGTGGGAACTAAAGAGTGGTGAACTTTTTATAAATGAATTGTGTTGATGGTTGCACAATTCTACTACTATGATGCACCTGAATCTCACCCATGCTCCGTATGTATCACTAGTGAATCTGCCATCTATATGGCTTATTTATATATAAACACATAAATACACACAAATAAACATATACGTGCACACTGTCCTGGTTAGTTTTGTCAATGTGACAGAAGCTACGGTCATCTAAGAGGGAACTTCAATTAAGAAAATGCCTCAATGAGATTGGCCTGAAGGCAAGTCTGTGGGGACATTTTCTAAATTAATGACCAATGTAGGGAGAACCAGCCCACTGTGGGAAGTGCCACTGGGGCACACACACCTAATCAAGTCGGTAACTTCACAGATCCAATTCCTAATATGGTTGAGAAGAGCAAATGAAGCCGTGCTTTCAGAAACCATGAGACACCATTAGCGGACAGCCTGTAAACAGAACTGTCACTATTCACCCCTCAAATTATGAAGTAGTGTGTGCATCATTCCGAAAGCAAACTCGAAGCCCGGTTCCTTCCACACACATTCAAATTATAAAGCGTTCACGAAGGTGGGTGGAAAAACGGAGATCCAGGAAGCCAGCTAAATCGTGTCCACCGCTTCCAAACGGGACGACATAGGGCAGAAGTGAGGGGTACGGGAAGGGGAGGGCGAATGAAGTCTTTTTTATTTTTATTCTATCCGGCACTCAGGTTATCTTATTTGCATTAAATCCTTCTAATTCCGGCCAGATACTTATTAAACTCCTTTCAGCTTTGATTTACTAAACCTTGTCTGTTTCTTTTAACGTATATTCCCAGTCAAAACCGCAAGGACTACCAGTGACTACAGGGTCCAAACCCAACGGGGTCTTAAAGCCAGATCGGCTCCGGGAAGGCAGGGGCAAACGCCGAGACGCATACTTACTTCTTGTTCTCGGTGTAGAACCGTGCCTGGAGTTGTGCCATGGCGGAAAGTGCACACGAGACTCCTCCACAAAGATCTGTGCGTTGACAGTCAGCACGCGGCAAGAGCCTTGGAAGGTAGGATCTGCTACCTTCAGCTTCCTCAGACCATACCACGAGGTTCTCGTTGCGCAGGCGCCCAGCCCGCACACATCAACTACCTATCCCGAGATTCAGGAAACATCGATCAGTCAAGCACAGTCTTGAGAGCAGCCAGTCCCCTAAACACTTCTATGTTTGCGCTATCAGACCCGTAATCGATTAGGAAGACAGACAGGGAAAAGAACTAGCTCGAACCTGATTTTTTTTAGAGGGTGTCTTTAGGCCGGATACTTCGGCCTCAGCGCCCAGATACTACAAACCCCAGAAGGGAGCGCTCTGAACGCCGGGAGTGGAGGTTTTATTTATTTAGCCACACGGAACTCAGGTTCTCTTATTTGCCTTTAAAACTCCCTTCTCCGGTCAGACATTCCATTTCCTGCTCCCTAACCCTGGGTGACAAAGGTCCCCCGGTCTGTTTTTTATGCGTCGTTACAGCAACAGCCGGACTCAGCCCAGACCATGTGTTCTTACCTCAGGCTGCAGAGCGGAAGTGCTGGGCAGGAAAACGACTCGGAAGGGACCGGGGCGACGGTGGCCGAGAAGGGCCCAACCTTAAGGGCCTGAATTGCGCCTCCCGGAGGGGAGCGCGTGCGCAGTGCGCTGGTCTCCATGGCAGGGCCTCGGAGCCAAGACGAGGTTGAGTAAACTCGTTTTGAATTTTCTCCCTTCTGCTCCGGCGGACTCCCCTCTCGCGTTGCGGGGCTCACTGCGGCGGCAGGCTTGGGGGAGCGGGAGGTCTGGCAGAGCTGTCTGCGCCCACGGACCGGACACTCCCTCCCGACCTCCCCTTCTTCCTCCTGCCTCCGCCTCCTCCCATCACCTCCTGAGCCTCCCGGGCGGGGAGCAACCGCCGCCCCCGCCCCCGCCTCCGCCCCCGGCTGCCGCGGCCTCGCTGCCTGTAGTCCCGGCGCCTCGCCGGCCTCCCGGGAGGGGACCCGCGGCCGGGGGGAAGGCAGGCGGCAGCAGGGGGAGGCTAGGTGTCCTGCGGAGGGGGCTGAGTCCGAGAGCACCTGCCGGAGAGGGGCCGCTCCCCTGCTTTCTCAGCCTGAAGTTTAGAAAGGCTTCCTCTGCACCTCTCCCCTGCTTTCGGACTGTTTTTGCTTTTGAATTGAACTCACTCAAAGGCCTGTGTCGGTCTCAATGGTCCTGATTGTTACTTTAATTATTTTCCCGAGTGGAGAATAGATGGGGATACTTTAAGATCCCAAAGTCACATTCTAAGGCATTTGCCCAAAAACCTCCAAGGAGTGCGGCGGGTGGAGCGGTTGGCACTCCGGGACAATAATTGAGAGTCAGGCAGAACTGGATTGCAAAATGTGTGGGCTAAGCGGTATGTGTGCAGGTGAAAACAACGGAAGCCTTTCTTTTTTTTTTAAATATGTTGCCTAATATTTAAATCATCTGTAGAAAATTAGAAGTGATCTAAACAATTAAAGGCAAAAAACAACCATTTGTTAAGTGAGCAATGACAGTAAAAGCATGACAGTTTCAGTGTATCCACCTTACAGAATTGCATGCCCTGTAACAGGAATGCCTGCATTTGATTCTACCTGTGCTACATAACCTTTGTGTCACACTTTGATCAACTGCGAGAATTAAATGTCACATAAGAAGCACTCTAAATGTTAACTATTGACTTCGTAAGAGCTAGCAGTACAAGTTTTAAATAGAAACGTCACTGATGTAGGTGGAGGCATAAAATGAGAAAACCTCTGCCCAAGCTCCAGAAAGAAATCACTTTGATAAGACTTTACATGTAAGCCATTACAATGTTGAGGATTTACATTAAATAATCTGCGACAGCTGAAACTTGAAATTCCTAACTTGAAGTGTGACTATTGAATTCTTACTTACTGATAGCATATGATTGATTAATTAGCCTTTTAAACTTTCTTTAATTTGAACTTTATCAAGTTACCAATAGTTAAAAGTCAATACTTTTTATTTAATGGAGCTATGATTAGGAAGATGTAGAACCTGAATTACTCAAGGAAAAGACGTCAATTTGCAAAGCAGAAATCTTGGATTCACTAAAAGATGTTTTTATTTGGCTAAGATGTTTAGTTAAGGAAAAACTAGTTATTAGTTTTGCAAAATGCAGAATACCCAGCATGATTTTTTTCTTCCGTCAGTAACTTGGATGTCTTCATTGTATCCAGGCAGTGCTTGGGATAGCATCACTAATGCTTTTGTGTCTTGGTTTCCTAAAAGTTTAGTTAATATCAACTGAAAAACCTTTGGGATTCATTTACTTTGGTCCTCATGAAGACTCACTGTTATCTGGAAGACCCCCAACAGGGAAAAATATTTCTTTGTGTTTCAATCTTTTGTTTTGAGACAGGGTCTCAGTCTTTCTATGTAGTCAGGATGGATTTGAATTCACTGTGTTTTCCTAGATTGGCTTTGAACTTGAGATCCCCCTGCCCCTACTTCCTGAATACTAGAATTATATATGCCTGCTACCACACTTGACTGTTGTTTGTTTTGAACCTGAATCTAAAGTTCTGGAATTAGGGTTTTATGTGTTCCAGGCAAGCACTCTCCTCCTAGCTATATCGTAGCTCAAGTTATGGGTTCTTAGGAGAATTACCATAGTTCCCTTTTATTCATGGTTTTGTGTTCCCCAGTCTCAGTTACCTGCTGTCAATATTAAATGGAAGGCCTAGAAATAACTCATGAGTTTTAGATTGTATGTCTTTCTCAGTAAGTAACATAATGTCTTACACTGTGCTATCAGGGATATCATGTCCAGGGACAGTATCCACTCCACTGCCCACCTGTTGGTAATAATAACCTTTTTGGATATTAAGTCAGTAACAATTAATTAATTAATTAAGTCTGTGTTTCAGTAAGTGCAAAGGTGATGACAGTGGCAGCTCACATATGCCAAAGAGAAGTTTTAAAGTGTTCTACGTCAAATGATGGAATTTTTAATTTGGGAAGAAAAGCTGTAGGCTAGTTTAGTAACATCTACAATCAACAAGCTATTTCAGAGACCACATCATGGAAGTTTTACTAAAGTATATCGTTAAGACCTTCTCTCTCTCTCTCTCTCTCTCTCTCTCTCTCTCTCTCTCCTTAATTATAAAATCATTTGTTTGTGCTCGCTTTAGGGATCCTGGTTCCAGGTATTCTCATGGGCTCAGACTGTGCCCCCAAGGATAAGAGGGTGGGCACCACTGTGTTTGGCTTACCCTTAAACAGATAATAAAGTCACTTTGGAATCTGTGTAAAATTAAATTAAATTAAGCTCTCAAAGAGCAAGGAAATAAAAAGGTGTGTGTGTGTGTGTGTGTGTGTGTGTGTGCGCAGGTCAAGAGCTGTAGAAATCACAATTATAGGTAAAAGTGGTAAACATGATCCTTAACTTTTCTACTAGAAAGTAAAATGTTTAAGTTGGAGCTGCCTGCCTCTGCCTCTTCAATACTGAGATTAAAGACATGCACCATCACACCTGGTTTAGGTTATTAGTTTTAAAGGATATGTTTTCATCCAGAAAGGTTAGGGGAGCAATACAAGATTAATGGTGACAGTTTTCCAGGAAGTACACCTGAGAAATTACTCTTAAAGCCTTGGACACATAAACTTGCTGTTGATCAAAGTCGAAGATCCATATCCTAAGTAATAACATTTATAAAGAAACATCCGTGTCTGGACTAGTCTCCAGCCTTCTGCCATGCATTTAGCATGTGTAAACAGTCAAACAGCTGTTAGAAAGTGAAAACACAGAAGCCGTAAGTTTCTTACCAAACTTTATTTTTTTAAAAAATTCATTTTTAGTAGTTTGTATATGTATGTGCCTTGTTTGTAGTTTATAAACTTGAGTACAGACCCACAAGGCCAGAGGAAAGTGTGGCATCCCCATGTGGAGCCACTGCACATGGGTGTTGGGAACTGAACCTTGGTCCTCTGCAAAAGCAGTATGTGTTCTTAACTACTGAACAATCTCTCCAGCCTGGAAACCTATACTTTTGATACAGAATAAAATCCAGTTCTGTAAAGTGATAGGAACATCCTAGAAGGCCATTTCCCAGAAAAAGAAAAGCAAGCTCTCCAAAATTTACTAAAAATAGACTCCAGCCTGGCGGTGGTGGTGCATGCCTTTAATCCCAGCACTTGGGAGGCAGAGGCAGGCGGATCTCTGTGAGTTCGAGACCAGCCTGGTCTACAAGAGCTAGTTCCAGGACAGGCTCCAAAACCACAGAGAAACCCTGTCTCGAACCCCCCCCCCCAAAAAAAAATAAATAAAATAAATAAGTAAAAATAGACTCCATCATTTAAAAAACTAATGTATTTTTACTTAATGTCCAATGGTGTTTTTGTGTGTGTACATTTGTATGACACAAACATGAGCCACCATGTGGATACTAGGAATTGAACCCAGGGCCCCTGGAAGAGCAGCCAGTGCTCTTAACTGCTGAGCCATCTCTCTAACCCCCAAAGATTCTATCTTTAATGCTTCTTTCTGTTCCCTAGTCCTGGTACTTCATGCTTACAAGATACATTTGTCAGCTCTAGGATTGGAGGTTGTAGGTATAGAAACTTTATTTTCAGCTCGTGGCTTCCAAAGATGCTCTACTGGTAATTACTTTCATTGAGGTGAAAAAATATGTGGCTACAGAAATCTTTGTTTCAGTGATTATTATAGAATGTTGGGCCTAAAATAAATGTCTAATTGTAGATAAGGAAGCAGGACAAGGGTTAAGTTGCCTCTTCTAGGACATAAGTGGTGTCAGACTTTAGCTCTTTCAAATGAGCAGAATAATGTTCTACCATGTTAGCCTGTCAATAAACAAAACATATACCGTGAAATGTAGTAGTTTTATTTGTGTGTAGAAGAGTAAAATATACATTGACTATTATTTCCTTGCAGAGAGCATGCTACTGTGAAGACATAATTACAGTTTTCACATGAACAAAGCTAGCACTGTTGTAATTTAGTGCCCCAAAGGAAGACTGTCAATGCCTATAAAAGGACATTTCTGAGGCTAACAGAATGTAGGAATCCGAGCTTGAAACCTGAGCCACTGCCCGAAGGTAATAACTTTTTAAACTTTTTTTTGGTTTTTCGAGACAGGGTTTCTCTGTAGCTTTGGTGCCCGTCCTGGAACTAGCTCTTGTAGACCAGGTTGGCCTCGAACTCCCAGAGATCCGCCTGCCTCTGCCTCCCGAGTGCTGGGATTAAAGGCGTGCGCCACCACCGCAAGGCCTAAACTTTTTTTTTCAATTCATTAGTTGTCTTTTTGTTTTTTACATTTTTTTAAAAAAATATTTATTTATTTATTTATGTGTTATGTATACAATATTCTGTCTGTGTGTATGCCTACAGACCAGAAGAGGGCACCAGACCTCATTACAGATGATTGTGAGCCACCATGTGGTTGCTGGGAATTGAACTCAGGACCTTTGGAAGAGCAGGCAATGCTCTTAACCACTGAGCCATCTCTCCAGCCCGTTTTTTACATTTTTTATGTTTTAATAGTATAAATTACCAAATCCATCCACTGTTCCTGTCCCCTCCCTCCATTCCAACTTCTCACCCCCTGGTCACTCTCAACTTCATGTGCCTTTTTTTTTTTTTAACCCACTGAGTCATCTCAGTGCTGCCAGTGTGTACAGGGGTCATTAATGCGGGGCCATCTACTGGAGCCTGAGTAACCTCTCAAGGTCGAATCCCTGAGGAAAGTAATTGTGCCTCCTCTCACAGGAGCCGTCAGCTGCCAGCTATCCCCAGTTGGGGTGGAACTTCGTGACTCTCACTTCTTTCTGATCCTGTCTTATGTGTGCAGTCATAGCTGCTGTGAATTGATGTATCTGGCAGAGGGCTGGTATCTGGAATACACAAATGACTCAAAAAAATAAACACAAGAAAATAAACCCCAAACAATCCAATTAAACTGTCTCAGAGTGGAACTAAACAGAGCTCACAAGGGAAAAAAATTACTAAGATTTTTTTCTTTTTAATGTTCAACAAGCATCTTGAGCTATCAGGAGATTTTATATTACTCTCGTCAGAATGGTTAAAGTCAAACAAATGCTGGCAGAGATACATGAAAAGGAGAAAGATTATTTGTTTATCGATATTATTTGTCTGAAGTTAAAAATCATTGAAAAATGAGTGTCTATTGCTTAAAGATTAAAGAACACTCTTTGAGTCCTTTGAAACCTAATAGGTATAAGGAAGAGTTTTAGATGGATGAAGGGAGATATCAGCCTGTTTTATCAATATGCAGAAGCTGGAATAAGAATATCTGTTCTATCTGTGGTCACAGTGACCTTACTGTGGGCACCAGAAACTCTAAGTTGAAAATGGTTCCAAGGAATCAGCTAAGTGCTCTTAATTGTTTAGCTGTTTTTTTTTTTCAGCCCAATTTTAGAGATTTTAATATTTAAATTTTTTATTTATTTACTGACTTATTTAGTGTGATCATGCATGTATGTGCACACATGTGCATGCTTGTGCTTATTCAAGCACACACTACTGTGCACATGTGGAAGCCAGAGAACAACTTGCAGGACTTGGCTCTCTCCTTCCACCATCTGGGTTCCAGGACTCAAATATGAACCACGAGGCTTGGCAGCAAGCACCTTTACCAGCTATCTCCTAAGCCCAATCAGAGCAGAGTTTGTTCACTGTGATTATATTTGGGTGTTTTCCATTCATATGCATAATTATGGTTTACTTTTCATTTAGGTATGGTGAGACCAACAGACGAAGAGAAGATAATCTGTTATTCACAGTTCTCAAAAGGAGTGGGCATGCTGTACCCCAGAGAACCACACAGTGTGACCCCGAGGTTGGTGGCAGGAACACGTGGGTGCAGAAGACTGCAGAAGAACCTTGCTTGTGGTTTTTGAGAGAAAAAATGGGCAGAGAAGCCTAAGCAGACTAAGCTGGCTTGAGATCAGGAAGTTTGAACAAACTTATTGGACTATGGCTTGTATTGTATTGTATTGGTCTTAGGGAAGTTAAAGCTGGGTGTGCTGTCCCAGAGGGTCAGAGAGCCTATAATGAAGCTAGCTGTGGGAGCCTAGTATTTGGACTTGTTTGCATAGGGAGATTAGTTTTGCCAGAGCATCTTTTATATCTCTAGTCCTTCCCTGGTCAGTGAGATTCCAAAGATGCTGAAGGGTCATAACAAAAACTAGGAAACATGATTAATATAAAATTGAAATTAGTTTTAAATTTTCTTCCTTTGTGCTCTTTCCTTATAGAAGGAATTAGGAGCAGTCCCTCTTTAGTCTCGAAGAGCTGATGCAAGATTATAGTTGCTTGGTTTCTAAAAATGTCCTTATATAATGTCTTGCCTTGATACTCATTTTGTGGGAAGATTTTTCACTTCCAACGTTTTTAAACATGTATAGGACTGTTCAACCTTTATAGTTCTAGAATTTATTTTGGTAAGTTTTCTTTTTTTCTAGGAACTTCCCATCATGTCTTTGCCTTAATGTCGACTTTAGGTAGTCCCTTTTTTATTCCTGATATTAATTTGATTTGTGTTTTTTCCCTATTCTTTAAAAAATAATTATTAATTAATTAATTTGCTTTTTCGAGGCAGAGTTCCTCAATATAACAGATCTGACTGTCCTGGAACTTTATTTGTAAGTCAGGTTGGTCTCAAACTCACAAAAATCTGCCTTTCTTGCCTCCCTAGTGCTGGGATTAAAGGTGTACACCATCACCACCTGGCAAAAAAATGCTTATTTTTCAATTATATGTATATGGGTGTTTTGGCTACATCTGTACATGTATATTATGGTCATGCTTGGTGCCTATGGAGGTCAGAAGAGGGCGTTGCATCACCTGGAACTGGAGCTACAGTTTGTGAGCTGCCATGTGGGTGCTGGGAACTGAAGTAAGAGCCAAGTGCTCCTAACCATAGAGATCACCTGCCTCCACCTCTACCTCTTGAGTGCTGCGATTAAAGACGTGCACCACCATGTCTGGTTTCTCTCACTCTTTCTTGATGAGTGTTTTCTTTCCCTAGAGAACTACTTGTAATATTGATTTGTTATTGTCTTCACTGTTTATTTTAATAATATTTAGTATGAGTTTAATATATATTTCTTCTATGTTTACCATTTTTAACTTTATTCCTTAGATACTTACTGTTTCCTTTTTCAAAGATTTTTATTCATTGACAAAAATTGTATTTATTTATAAAGGGGAACATATTTGATATGTATACATGGTGTGGTTAAATCAAATGAATGAACATTTTCATGACTTTTACTCTCTCTCTCTCTCTCTCTCTCTCTGTGTGTGTGTGTGTGTGTGTGTGTGTGTGTGTGTGAGACAGATGGGGGGGAGAGAGAGAGAGAGAGAGGAGATATTCTGAAGACTGTTCCAAGAACTTTATGCATGCTAAGCAAGTGTTCTACCACTCACTGAGCCATGCCTCATCCCAATTACCAGTTTGGTTTTTTTGTTAATGGTATATCTTGGCTGGGCGGTGGTGGTGCATGCCTTTAATCCCAGCATTCGGGAGGTAGAGGCAGGTGAGTTTGAGGCCAGCCTGGATTGCAAAGCAAGTTCCAAGACAGCCAAGGCTATACAGAGAAACCCTGTCTCAAAAAAGAAAAAAGAAAAAAAAAACACAAAAGAATGGTATATCTTTTTTAAATTAATTTCATTTTTAATGCTCTCTCTCTCTCTCTCTCTCTATATATATATATATATATATATGTGTGTGTGTGTGTGTGTGTGTGTGTAAAACAACCATATATTTGTGTCAGGAACCCTTAGAGACCAAAGGCATCAGATTCCTTGGAGCTTGTGTTATAGATGGTTGTGGGCCACCCACTGTGGGTGCTGGGAGTCAAAATCAGGTCCTCTGGGAGAGCAGCCATCTCTCCAGTCCTTATCAGTCTTTTCGTTTTAGGGATATTTAAGGGGCCAGAGAGATGAATCAGCAGTTGCGAGCTCTGGCTGCTCTTCCAGAGGACCCAGATTCAGTTCTTAGCACTCACATGGCAGCTCACAACTTATAACTCCAGTTCCAGCACCCTCATAAGACATACATGCAGGCAAAACACCCATGCTCATGAAATAAAGGAGAGAATGCTTAATTAAGATCTACTCTCAACAGCTTTCAGGTATCCAACATTGTAGTCACTGTGAGATACGATAGCTCTTTTGAACTTGTCTATACTGAAATTCTGAGAGCCCCAACATTGCAGTTTTATTCGGTTGCACCTGTGGCCTAAGACTCTGATGTTTGTGCCGACTCACAGCCAGTACCTGTGACCTAAGACTCTGATGTTTATGCCGACTCATGGCCAGTACCTGTGACCTAAGACTCTGATGTTCATGCCAACTCATGGCCAGTACTTGTGACCTAAGACTCTGATGTTCATGCCGACTCACAGCCAGTACCTGTGACCTAAGACTCTGATGTTCATGCCAACTCATGGCCAGTACTTGTGACCTAAGACTCTGATGTTCATGCCGACTCACGGCCAGTACCTGTGACCTAAGACTCTGATGTTCATGCCGACTCACGGCCAGTACCTGTGACCTAAGACTCTGATGTTCATGCCGACTCATGGCCAGTACTTGAAGATCTGGATCTCTAATCATTCGGAGTAGTATTGGTTTTTATTGTTTGTTGTTTTCATTTTTGGTACAGGGTCACATATAACTGAATGTGGCCTTGAATTAATTATGTACTTGAGGCTGATCATGGACCTATCTGTCTCAGCTTCACAAATACTGAGATTATAGGTTTACACCACAATTTCTGGCTGGAATGGAGTTCTAAGTATATCTGTAAATCAAGTTTGCTTGGGGTTTTGTTTTTTTCTTGTTTTCATGTTTGATGACTTGATGTGAGGTAGTATGATGAAGTCTTGCTTTGGGATAATGGCTTTGCCAGTTTGGCTCCAGATTCTATCCAGTTTTTGTAAGTTACTAAGGGAAATTTCAAAATAATAGCAGTTGTATAGCGACACAAAGCCATTTATGAGTGCTTTCATTGCCATCTCCAGGCCGACCTTGTTTTATGTGTAACTCTGTCTGACTGTACTCCTTTCTCTCAGACTTTGAATGTGACATAACTTTATATCACAAATTCAGTTTTAATGAGCCAATATAGAGTGTAATTAAGAACAGAATGAGGGAACTATGTAATCCTAACATTTTTATTTGCCTTAAATATATTATGGTGCCTTGGCAAGTTAATTAATAAAAACAGTAATTTCTATCTATAGAATGGAAATTATTTTGCCTATATTGTGTAAGGTACCATGGTTATGGAAGACGAAAGATTTATTTGGGATTAACACCCCCATCAAAATGTTAGTACTACAGTTGATGACCAGATGTTTACCCTTTCAGCTGTTAACTAATAGGAGAAAAATGAGACTGAATATGAAGCCAGCATGGAACAGCAGCGTTTGTTAGGAGCCAGCTGTAGCGATGGGAAAGAGTCCGAAAGAGGAGCTCAGGAATCCGAGGTAGGGATTCAACTGCAAGGGTTTCTGGTCTTACAAAGAACACCATGCATTTAACAACTTTTCATGCTTGAAAATAGTCTTTTACTCAGTGATACAAGATTTTTAATACACCAAGGATGGTGGTACACACTTGTTTTCCAGGCATCCAAGAGGCACAGCTCAGGGCCAAGAGTTGAAGGTCAGGCCTGGGGTGCGTATTTGAGACTCTGTTTCAAAAAGGTTTTGATACATATCTCTCATATATTTAATTTTTAACATAGAATTTTTAAATAATGCTTAGATATAACCATAAAATTTTTGTACTCTCTCTATATATATTGAATTATATTTAATCATTTCCATATGTATCCCTGGGAAAATAAAAAGTTAAAACATGTGGAAGTCAATGCTTTCACTCAACACAGTGGTTCTCAACCTGAGGGTCATAGCCCTGTTTGGAATTGAGTGACCCTTTTGATAGGGGTCACCTAAGACCATCCAAAACCACAGATATTTATGATTCATAAAAATAGCTAAATTACAGTTACGATGTAGCAATGAAAATAATTTTATGGTTGGGGTTCACCATAACATGAGGAATAGTATTAAAGGGCCGCAGATTTGGGGAAGGTTGAGAACCTTAAGAAATACTTTGGGCTGCAATGTAGCTCAGTGGTAAATTGTTGCCTAGCATGTAGAAGGTCCTGTGTTCAATACCCATCACTAAGAATACCCAAACTCTGCAGGCATAGCGGTGCACATCTTTAATATCAGCACTCAGGAGGGTTTGAGGCCACACACGGTCTACATATCTCCAGAAGAGCCAGGATTATATAGTGAGACCCTGTCTAAAAACAAAACAAAATAAAAACTCTTGTAGTAAAATGAATAATGAACTGAAATATAAATGTCCTTCTATGTTTATTATCAGTCTTTTTAAAAACTGTAAAAATAGACCAAGTAGTGGTGGCACACTCCTTTAAACCTAGCACTAGGGAGGCAGAGACACTGAGTTTGAGGCCAGCCTGGTCCACAGAGCAAGTTCCATGGCCAGGGTGGTTACACAGAGAAAGCCTGTCTCAAAAAATCAAAAACAAAACAAAACAACAATGACAACAAGAAAACCTTTGTAAGAATATGGTATATTTTTCAAAGGCATTGTCATTTTTTAATTAAAAATTTATTTTTTGACTTTTCAAAAGCATATAACCTGTATGGACTCTGGGGATCCTTCCTTTGGACAGAATGAGCCCCCCACCATTTTGCCTGTTACTGCTGAAACAGATGATCCCCTCACATCACAGGATCTTCCAGAGACACTGACTGATACACAGGCCCTTTGTGCAGAGCAGTTCCATCTTTTAGACCCAAATGGGCAGCCTCTTCAATATGACCTCCACTCACAAATGGTGAGTATATTTTATAGCTAATGAGTGTTATGGTATTTAATAATATCTATTAATCATACTAAATGACCTTAGTTTCTTGATACTACTAGCTTATACTTTATATTGAAAATATTCTTTCTATGACTTTTTTTAAATATGGGTATTTTTGCTTTTAGGAGTGCAAAGACTACAAATAGTATTTAAAGCAGTCCTTCCTCTCGTGTCAGGCACACTGGTGTGGTCTATAGCTAGTGCTTAGATACTCAAGTTTGCTTGTAAGTTACTTTTTGTTTTTGGGGACAAGATTTTGTATAGCCTAACCTGTCTTTGCCCTCTCTGTGTTATTATTAAACTTCATGCATGTGCTATCATGATTAAGACCATAGGTGCTTAAGACCATAGGCGATAGTGAAACTGATTGATTTGAATCTTAGCTTCAACACTTGTCCACTATGGGACCTTTGGAGAAATTGGCAGACTCAGTGCTGTGTCTGTGGAGTGAAGTAATAAGGCCATCCTAGAAGTAGGTGTCCGCTTCAGTAACCTAGTAGCCCTGGTAAATCAGAATGGCATATCGTTTCTTTAATGTCTCCAAGACGATCACTACCAGCCCTTCAGAAAATAAACAGGTGCTTCATGTAATCCCACCTACCCAGACAGGAATGGCGCAGGTGACCATACCTCGGGAGCCGCTGGTGGATGCAACTAGTCCCCAAGGTGAGTCAGTATGGGATGGGAGCAGGCATTGACCGTGCTTTAAAGATTAGGGTGATAGTCTAGAAAATTTCCTATGGACATCCATATTAAAGTTCATCTCTTTAGGTAACATTGTGAATTAAGTAATTAGAAAACATTTTTTTTTACTTTTTTTTATTTTTATTTTTTTTTTAGTTTAGCCCTAATAAATCTTAAGTTCGTTTTTGAACTCCTGTCTAGGTTAACTGTCTATTTGATTTTGGAATTCTGTGAAGCTGGTTGACTCTTGCTTCCTCCCAAATAACCAGTGAGCATAAGATAAATTCTTCTTAATTATAGAAACAACAATGAAATTGCAACAATAGCACAAATATAGTACCTAGCGACAGGAGATTTTTATATTTGTATTTTATTGATTTTTTTGCTAGCTTTGTGACCCATTCTTTTTTTTAGTGTGTTATTTGACTCTTCTCCTCCTCCCCCATTCCTTTGTTTCACATTAAGAAGAGAATCAGGCTTCCATTCACCCATTTTTTTTGCCCGTTTGGTAGAATCCCTATTAATTTTTTCCTTCCCTTTGCAATATAGTTGAATCTCTTTTTGACGTCATTGCTACACTATTTTGTTGCTCTTTTATACATAGTTCTTTTTGACTTTATGATTTGTTGTCTTTATTAATAGTCATTAAAAGTTAAAACAAAAACATGATTTACAGGAACATTATAAACACAATGTATAAGTAAGTTTTTGTTTTTGTATTACATGTGAAACTCTTTAATATAACAATTATTTTGGCTATTTCAAAATCATAACTTAAATATAAGTATAAAAAGTTAACTACAAAATTTCATAGCCATGCAATTTAAATTGCATTTTAAAATTTTAAATAAAATGCAATTTAAAAGTAATTAAGTTTATCAGTGACAGTCTCAATAAATTATTTAAAGTTTTTTTAACTTCAGAACAAGTCTTCTTTTTCCTATTTAAGTGATTTAATTTTAGTTAAGTAATCGTCATAATGTTATTCAAGATACTGATGTTTCTTATTTTTGTTGTTAAGATGCCTCTGAAGAGAAACCCATTGACAGAAGCTTACCAACTGTAAGAGCAGATACTCTAGAAGCCAGTGCCAGTAACTGTATTCTTCATTCACAAGCATCCCTTGTGCTACCCAGAAAGTCAGGGACCAGGTGAATCATGGGAAAGAGGAGCTTGTCTTTGGGGTCACGATGGAAGTCTGTTTTTAAGTGATCATATCTAAAGCTGGCAGACAATAGAAAACATCAGAAGTTCACAGAGAGGAGGCATTCATCACATGTGTTTCCCTTTAGTTCACAGAGAGGAAGCGTTCACCACATGTGTCTCCCTTTATTTTAGTGCATCTTGGCAAGGACATATTCCTGTTTTTTTTTTTTTTTTTGAGAAATGTTAAATGCCAATAGTACATTTCAGAATAAAGACATTCATTCTAGTTCCTAAGATTTTTAAATGGTTTAACAGCGTTTATATAGATATAATTCCTATATGGTAAAGTGCAATTTTTTTTTTGATTTTTTTCAAGACAGGGTTTCTCTGTAGTTTTTTGGAGCCTGTCCTGGAACTAGCTCTTATAGACCAGGCTGGCCTTGAACTCACAGAGATCCGAATGCCTCTGCCTCCCAAGTGCTGGGATTAAAGGTGAGCGCCACCACTGCCCGGCTGCAATTTTTTTTATTAGCATTGTGTGTGTGTGTGTGTGTGTGTGTGTGTGTGTGTATGTTAGTTCTGGAAATTGAGCACAGGGTCTTTCTTGGGCATGCTAGGCAAATATTTTCCACACAGTTACAAAAACATAGCCTGTCTTTTGCTAAAATCTATTTGGTTTTATCTTTTTTCCTAAAAATAACATTTTTCATGATGATTCTAGGAAAATATTGATAATATCCCTATTAATTTTCTTCCTTCCGTTTGCAAAACTTCTTGTTTTTGGAATTTATTTTAATTCTATGTGTATGGGTATTTAGCCTGTATGTCTATGCACCATATGTGCAGTGCCCTTGGAGGCCAGAAGAGGGCATTAGGTCCCTGGGACTGGAGTTACAGTTGTTTTTAAATTTATTTTATGTGAATTGGTGTTTTGCCTACATGTATGTCTGTGAGGGGTGTTGGATCCCCTGGAACAGGAGTTATAGACAGTTGTGAGCTGCCATGTGGGTACTGGGAATAGAATCTGGGTCCCCTGGAAGAACAGTCAGAGCCCTTAACCACTGAACCACTTCTCCAGCCCCTCCCTTGAAGTATCGTTTTACGTGTTTATATTGCTTTAATTGTTCTATGAAAATATTTTGGCTGGGTGGTGGTTGTGCACACCTTTAATCCCAGCATTTGGGAGGGAGAGGCAGGTGGATCTCTGTGAGTTAGAGACCAGCCTAGTCTGGCTCCAAAGCTACAGAAAAACCCTGTCTCAAAAGAACAGAACAAAACAAAAACCAAACCAAAACAAAAAAGAAAGAAAGAAAACATGTGAACCATTTGTTTATATTTTTGTTTTTTTTCATCATGTCTAGGAATTTTTTCCTTCTTGATTTCTTCAATGACCCAGTCATCATTCAACAATGTATTGCTTAATCTCCATGAGTTTGTAAATTTTTTGAAGTTTCTATTGCTGTTAATTTCTGGCTTTATGCCAGGCAGTTGTAGCCCATACCTTCAATCCCAGCACTTGGGAAGCAGAGGCAGGAGGATCTCTGTGAGTTCAAGGCCAGCCTGGTCTACAGAGGGAGTTCTAGGAGAGCCGGGGCTACACAGAGAAAACTCTTTTTTTCAAAAACCAAAATATTGAATAATAATAATAACAATTCTGGATTTATTCATCATAATCAGCAAGAATACAGGATGTTGTTTCAACTTTCCTACATTTGTTGAGACTTGCTTTGTGTTTTAATGCATGAGCTATTTTAGAGACAGTTCCATGGGTTGTTGAGAAGAGCGTGTATCCTCCTTGTTTGGGCAGAATGTTTTGTAGCTGTCAGTTGGGCCCGTCAGTTAGTTTGGTCTGTAATGATGTTTAATTTCAGTGTTTCTTTATTCATTTTTTGTGCAGTTGAGTTGTCCAGTAGTGAGAATGGGGTATTGCGGTCACACACTATTACTGTTTGGTGGTTATCTGTGATTTAAAATCTTGTAGTATTTGTTTTACAAAAATACAAAAATGAGTCTGTATTTGGTGGACATGATGCTTTGAGAAAGGTCATCCATGGTTCATCTTTTCTAACACAGTGGTCCCCAGTAGTGTCCTTGTCTGTGGAGATCATAGGACTTTGCAGGAAGAAGTAGTCACTGGGGGCAGGTGTGGAGGGTTTGGAACCTTGCCCCACTTCCTGCTGTCTCTCTCTGCTTCCTGTGTGACTTCTCTGCCATGAGGGACTCTCTCTCTCTGGAACTGTAAGTCAAAGTAAACCCTGTCTTCTATCATTTGCTAAGGTGAGTATAGTTATCGCAGTGGGCATATAGACAAAGTCATACCCTGACCCATAATGCGCAGCACAGGCAAGATGATCTCTGTGGTGGCATGACTTGGGTGGACCTTTGGTACTAGCTAAACAGTCGTGGTGTTTCCAGGAATGAAATAAATAAGAAGCCTACTGTGTTTTTGTTTGATCTGTATAAGCAAACATATTCTCAGACTAATGAAAGTCTACATTGGATGGTGGCAAGAAGGAATCTCAGTCACTAAACCAGTTTTTAGATATGATTAAGTTTGCAGATACAAAACCCCTTGAATGAAAAGAAGAACAGATTCCCCTTAGGAAAGGACCTTGCTAAAATACCTAAGAATTTTGCTATTAGCCTTTCTCCTACATTTCCCCAGAGAGACTTCCCCTGTTTTTTTTTTTTTTTTTTTTTTTTTTTTTTTTTTTTTTTAACCAGGCTAAGTGTACACTGTGGAAGTAATTAGACCTTCCAGGGTCTTTTGGATACTGGTTCTGAATTGATACTGATTCTATTAAATCCCAAGAGCATTGTAGTCCTTCAGTTAAAGGAGGGGCTTCTGGAGGTCAAGTTGATTAATGGAGTTTTAGTGAAGTCTGTCTCACAGTAGAACCAGTGGGTCCCTGAACTCATCCTATGGCTATTTCCCCAGATCTAGAATGTATAATTGGGATGTAAGATAGACTTAGAAGTTGGCAGAATTCCTACAGCTCTTGACTCTGGCTAGCCCCACTGTTTTGCCTGTGCATGACCACCAACTCGACCACTCTTCTGCCAATATGGCTTTTTTTTTTGTTTTTTTTTTTTTGGTTTTTCGAGACAGGGTTTCTCTGTGGCTTTGGAGCCTGTCCTGGAACTAGCTTTGTAGACCAGGCTGGTCTCGAACTCACAGAGATCCACCTGCCTCTGCCTCCCAAGTGCTGGGATTAAAGGCGTGCACCACCACCGCCCGGCTTGCTTCTTTAAAGGAACACTTTACAAATACTTCACGGTTTTAGACGTACGTGTGTCCTTGATGATCTGGGCAGTTCCCTGGGTATTTTAAAAATGAACTCAAGATCTGAGCCTCTTGATTGACACGATTCTGTACGGTTTTCTGAATGAAGAGAGTGGCTTGGATGCACACCTTCCTAGACCTGGATGGAGGGAGGAGGGCCTTGGACTTCCCACAGCGCAGGGCACCCTGACTTCTCTTAGGACTGGAGAGAGAGGGGGAGGATGGGAGGAGGTGGAAATTTTTAATAAATAAATTAAAAAAAGAGAGTGGTGAACATTTTCATAGGTCACCTCTGGCCATATCTAAGAAGAGTTTATTGCTTTATCCTTTAGCCCCATCAGGAACTATAATGTAGATTATCAATAAAAAAGTTACTGTGGCAGGAGAGACTGCTCAGCAATTAAGAGGTCGTTGATATGATCCTTTGTGAAAAGGAAGAAATTGTTTCTAAAGGTTTTATAGAAAAAAAAAAGAGATTCCTAGAATAAACCAGAAAAACATAAATCAATGGCATGGAATACATCTAGCATTAAATACATGTACAGAAATTTTTGTTTGTTTTTAAAAAGGAGTCAGAGGCTGGAGAGATGGTTCTGTGCTTAAGAGTACCTGTTCTTGTAGAGGACCTAGGTATGGTTCCTATCACTCATACAGTGGGTTACAGTTCCCATAATTCCAGTTCCAGGGGATACAATGCCCACTCTGACCCCAGTCACATGTGGTGGTGTGTTAACTTACATGCAGGTTAACTATGAAGATACATAAAATATTTTTTTAAAGATGTGGGGAGATGGCTTAGTTAGTAAAGCATTCGGCACGAAGTACAAGGTTCTGTGTTCAAAACCAGGTGTAGTAGTTCTTGTCTGTGGCCTCTGGGAAGTGGGCCCAAAGGAAGACTGAGCCCTTGAGTTCACTAGCCAGCCAGTTTGCAGAGTTAGTGAGCTCCAGGTTTAGTGAGAAACCCAGTCTTAAACAAGGTGAGCCAGATGGTGTGGTGGTGGCGCACGCCTTTAATCCCAGCGCTTGGGAGGCAGAGGCAGGCGGATCTCTGTGAGTTCAAGTCCATACTGATCTACAGAGCAAGTTCCAGGACAGTCAGGGCTACACAGAGAGACCCTGTCTGAAAACAAAACAAACAAACAAAAAACCTGAAAAGTTAAGGGTGACTATGGAAAATATCTAATGTCAACCTCTGGTTTTGATATACATACGCACACATGTATATGCACATGTGTGCCCATATATTACAGTATCACACACACATTACGAAGTAAAGAAAAACAAAGCAGTTAAATGTTTTGTGTGTGCATGACTGTGTATTTACATCTACTCTTCTCTCCCAGACTGCTCGAGGAATCTTTGCCGTCTCCTCTGCAGCCACTTTCTTCTAACACACCTATATGGGCCTGCCATCTTAGGAGTTGTGAGGTGGGTTTCATTTACCTGGTTATGGCAACATTTCATCCCTGACTGAACATTTTTGCATACAAATAGTAAGTCGCTATCTGTCATATTCTGTATGCATTTATGCTTAATCTAAGCTCGCTTGTTGTTTCATTCTTTAAAGATAAAGGCTCTGGTAAAGCGGGAGTTTTGCCTATTGTGTGGTGCCTGCCTGTACTCCCAGCACTTGGGAGGTGGTGGCCGGAGAATCAAGAGTTTAGAATGTTCCTTGGCTACATGAGTTTGAGACCAGCTTGGGCTACATGAAGCCCTGTCCCTGAAATACAGACTGGAACAAGAGAAAAAGCGGCAGTCATATAAAGCTCTTCTGGCTCTACTCTCATTTCTTCTCTGTGGCTGACTTTCCTTGTTATCATTCCTTTCTACTTTTGCTTTGAATTACCTCCTGCCTCCCTCCCTCCCTCTTTCTCTCTCTGTTTTCATTTGTTTCTTTTTATAGTCTCACTATAACTTCCTCAAGATTTGCTTTTGACCTTGTCTTCACTTTATCTTTTGAAGGATTTTACCTATTTTGTTGACTTTCAACTATAAAATATTTTGTTTGTTTTATTTATTTATTTTTAAATATTTATTTAATTTTATTATGCATACAATATTCTGTCTGTGTGTATGTCTGCAGGCCAGAAGAGGGCACCAGACCTCATAACAGATGGTTGTGAGCCACCATGTGGTTGCCTGGAATTGAACTCATGACCTTTGGAAGAGCAGGCAATGCTCCTAACCGCTGAGCCACCTCTCCAGCCCCCTATAAAATATTTTGCAAACCTGTATCACCAGTTCTGTAATTCTTACTGTTGTCCCAGACCTTCAGCGTCTTTTTGGAAGTTTTATTTAGAGTTTACCTTATATTCACTGCAACCATATCAGTTCTGCTTCCTAAATTCTTTGCCTGTTCCATTAATAAACACCGTTTCCTTAGATATCCAGACTCAAAGTTTTAGACTGATTTCTTTGTTTCATTCAGATACTTAGCTGGCTTTTGTTGTTATTGTTTTGACTGTGTGTTTGTTGGAGATGATCTCACAATGTAGCCATAGCTGGCCTGATACTCACTATGCAGACAAAGCTAGCTTTAAACTTGTATTAGTTGATCTGGGGGTAGAATTTTAGATACCCAAGAGAATGGTATATTACATATTCTTCAAGCTTTCTTTTCTAACTTACATCTGTTTGACGATAGCACTTGAGTTCAGATCAGACCCCACTGGTTGTACAGGCCAGTGGTGAGGAAGTGAACTGATGCTGTTTTATGTTAGGAAACTGTCTTGTTAAACTAACTGTTCCCTCCCTTTACAGAAAATTGGAGACTCCTACCGTGGCTACTGTGTGAGTGAGACTGAATTGGAAAGCATCCTAACTTTTCACAAGCAGCAAACCCAGAGTGTCTGGGGCACACGCCAGTCTCCAAGCCCAGCCAAACCTGCCACGCGCTTGATGTGGAAGTCCCAGTATGTCCCCTATGACGGAATCCCGTTTGTCAATGCAGGTACTTCTCATCAGTTACTTATAGCTCCCCAGCAGCTGTGCTTTTTGTGAACATGTGATTTCTCTGTGACAGGATACATTTCATTTTGGTAGGTAAGAATTTAATTTTATTTGCTGGAAATGAATATTAAACTAAAAAGAAGACAGCAAATATAACTAATTTATGTCATAAAATTAGTTTTACTCTATGACACTGAATAAATAATACTTCATAAATAGAACTTTCAATTGCAAGTAGATCTATAGACAACATTACCTAATCAAAAGCAATTCTTTATAGTCTCACTAACAAAAATAAATCATCTCTCAGATAGATAGATGATAGATATATGGACAGACATATAAAATTTCATTGTTTAGAACAGATTCTACAGCCAGATAAGTTCCAGAAGCTTTGTTTTTTGAGGTTTTTAGGCTTCAGATTTACTCATAAAGAATTGATGTGCTAGGGGGAGAAGAGTGGGGGTGGGAAATGGGAGGCAGGGAGGAGGCGGAAATTTTTAATTAAAAAAAAAAGAGGAAAGAATTGATGTGCTGTGGGGGTTGGGGGGGGCTGGAGAGAAGGCTCAGAGAGAGGTTAAGAGCACTGGCTGTTCTTCCAGAGGTCCTGAGTTCAATTCCCAGCAACTACGTGGTGGCTCACAACCATCTGTAATGAGATCTGGTGCCCTCTTCTGGTGTGTAGGCAGAACACTGTATACATAATAAAAGATAAATTAAAAAAAGAATTAATGTGCTGATTTTTACTTCTGTTGACAATGTTATAAACTTCTCTACATGCAATCCCTGGCTTAGTATTTCCAGACTTTAAAAAAATATCCATGTTAGGCCGGGCATAGTGGCATATACCTTTAATCCCAGCATTCAGAAGGCAGAGATAGGAATATCTCTGAGTTTGAGGCCAGTCTGATTTATGTAGTAAGTTCCAGGACGACCAAGGCTATATATAAACAAAACAAAACAAACAAACAAAAAACTCATTCAGAAGTACTGGGCACAACTTTATAATCCAGCACTCAGGGAAGCAGAGGTAGAAGGCTCTGTAGGAGTTCAAAGCCAGCCAAGGCTACTTAGTGGACCCTGTATCAAAAAAGAAAAAGAAAATTATGGGAATTTTCATATGTATCAAAAATAGAGGTAAGAATATAAAAACTGTCTGCATTTTTAGTAAGAAATACTGATGTTTTGCTCCATAAGATTATGTAATTAATACTATAGATTTTGAAATTGCCACAACCAAGTTGTTAAAGATCTGCCTAGAATATATGAGCACCTAAATTACTGTCATTGGTTGGTTTTGGGCTACAGGTAGTCGAGCTGTGGTAATGGAGTGTCAGTATGGACCAAGGAGAAAAGGTTTCCAGTTACAGAGACTCAGTGAACAAGGAAGCAGGTCTTGTCATCTCTACAGAGCTACGTGCCCAGCCAGGTAAGCTATTTTATCTTACTTTATGTTTTTACATTGAAGTTTTAATTTTGAATAGCAAATAGAAGCATTTCTATTAAGTTTAAACAGTTCAGTTATGTAAGTTGTAAGTTCTTTTTTCCACTACTGTTTTGTATCTTTCTCATTAAAGCTTCAACTCTCTTTTTAAAAGATTTTATTTATTTATTAAGTGTCCAATATTCTGCCTGCACGTGTGCCCACGCCAGAGGAGGGCACCAAATATTACTATAGGTGGTTGTGAGCTACCATGTGGTTGCTGGGAGTTGAACTCAGGAACTCTGGAAGAGCAGCCAGCGCTCTTAACCTCTGAGCCATCTCTCCAGCCCAAAGCCTCAACTCTTAACATTTTTTTTTGTCTCATCTTACAAAGATTTTCTGTATATGGATGTGTATGTGTATGAATATACACATATCCTCTTCTACCCTAAAAGGTCAGTAAAGCCTGCTAATATTTTCTTTCCTTAAACTGAGGTAATAGTATTCCCTCTTTTCTGCTGCCTGAAAAGACTATAGTGAATATTTATCTTAGTTAGGGTTTCTATGGCTATGAGGAGACACCATGACCATGGCAACTTTTTTATCTATCTATCTATCTATCTATCTATCTATCTATCTATCTATCATCTATCTACCTACCTATCTACCTATCTATCTAATTTATTTATCTATATATTTATTTATTTGTTTGTTTGTTCATTCACTCATTTATTTTACATACAGTGTCCTGAGTGCACGAGGGCACCAGATCTCATTACAGATAGCTGTGAGCCACCATGTGGTTGCTGGGAATTGAACTCAGGTCCTCTGGAAGACCATATAGTGCTCTTAACCTCTGAGCCATCTCTCCAACCTGACCATGGCAACTGTTACAAAGGAAAAACATTTAATTGGGTGATTTATAGTTCCGAGGTTCAGTCCATTATCATGGTGGGATGTGGCGGCATGCAGGCAGACGTAGTGCTGGAGAGGGAGCTGAGAGTCTACATCTTGCACAGATGACAAGAAGTAGTCTGAGACACTGGGCATGACTTGAGTATATATGAGACCTCAAAGCAGGCTAGCTTCATATACACTGTGTGGCCAAGGGTGGCCTTGAATTTCTCATCCTCCTGCCTCTGCTTCTTTAATTCTGGGATTTACAGATGTTTACCAATATACCTAGTGACAAACTCTGTATTAGATCAAAACCACAATCAATAACCTCATTTCAGTTTATTAGTAGGATAAATAAGTATAATGGTAATTGTCAGGGAAAGGTTATAATTTTTAAAATGTTGACAAGGAAAAAAAATGCTTCTGAGAGATTTTACCAATTTACACTAATACCAGAAATGTATAAGAGCCATAGTAATTTTTAGGCAGAGGACTAGGTTGTCATTGCTCTGGGTGAGAATAAAAAATATGAATCAATGAAGGATTTTTTCTTAATATTCTATACTCTCTTAGACATTGAAACTGTTCAAAATTATTAGTAAAATGAATAGTGTTAAAGGCATATTGGGCTGGGGGATAGGAAAGTGGTACAGGTAGCCCAGGTGTGTAGCTGTCCTGGAACTTGCTATGTAGATCAGGCTGGCCGTGAACTCATAAAGATCCTCCTCTCTTTGATTAAAGGCATGCATCACCATGAGTGGCTTAATTTATGTGTTGTTGTTGGCCAGGCAGTGGTGCTCACCTTTAATCCCAGTACTGGGGGATTGAGCAGAGGCAGGTGGATTGCTGTGAGTTCAATGTCTCCCTAGTACACAGAATGAGTTCCAGGATAGGCAGAGATATGCAGAGAAACCCTGTCTTGAAAAAAAAGAAAAAAAATTTACACATCTTTGTTGTATGAATGAATTTAGGTAATGAGAGTTTCAAGGCGATCATCTTGGAAGAAGATCCATAAAATAAACCAAATGCAAATTATGGCTTCCAGGACAGGGAAGGAGAAAAAGGTTAAAAAAGTCTATATTTAGATATTTATACTCAGTTTGTGATCATTGTTGATTTTCTAAGCATCATGCACTCAATATGACAGCTTTTGTAAGCTTCTGAATACTAAGTTCAATGTTCTCTAACTTTTCTTTTGAGTTCTTTATTGATGTTAGGTATTTCTTGAGATTATAATGAAGAGTTTCTTCTTTGTATTGCACAAAGGATTTACATTAAAAAGGTACAGAAGTTCCCTGAATATAGAGTGCCTACAGACCCGCAGATGGACAGGAAGATGATCAGAGTGGAACAGGAGAAAGCCTTCAGCATGCTGAAGGAGAACCGGGTGGATGCTGGGGGTGTTCTTCGGTATGATACTCAGACAGTATGTTTTCAGTTGTTTCTTCGAGGACTGGCTTTATAAGTTAGATACCTCACCAGTATTAAACTTATTTACTATTGTATATGTTATTAAGTTTATTACCTAAAAATTGTGTATAACTCAAAGCATACGTTGTTGATTACTATGACAGCCATCTGTGAATTTTAAGCCCTAAGTAAAATTTTATTTTATGCTTCATGTTTTAGATAGAAGGAACTATAATATTTCTGGCTTACTGTTCTTTATTTGTTAATCCAGGTGAAGAATTTATTATTGCATGAGGTCAAATATAAGGAAAACTTTTATATGATCGTTTATAAAAATTTAAAAAATGAAGTCAATAATTAGGCCCTTCAATTTTTAAAATATGCAGCTCTAATATTTTTATTTTAAAAATATCATTAGATTTTAAATTTTTATTTTGTGTTTAAGAGGTTTTCCTGGATGTATATATGTGCATCGTGTACATTTTGATGCCATGGAGGTCAGAAAAGGGCATTGGATCCCCTAGGACATGAGTTAGAGATGGTTGTGAATCACCATGTGTGTGCTGGGAATCAAACCTGGGATCTCTGAAAGTATACCAAATACTCTTAACAACTGAGTTATCTCTCCAGCTCCATACTATACAACTTGCTCTCTTTTGTTCTTATCGGTTTATATCAAGCAGAAGTACAGGGGGTCAGTGGGATAGCTCAGTGAGTTCACTCTCCAGGGTCCACATGATAAAAGGCAAGAACTGACTCCTTCAAGTTGTTCTCTGACCTCTACATATGCATGCTGACACATAGGTGTCCCCACATATACACATACACAAATAATAAATGTAAAAGACTATCCAAGTGCTTCACCAAAAGTTAAATCGCCTCCCTCCCTCCCTCCCTCCCTCCCTCCCTCCCTCTCCTCTCCTCTTCTCTTCTTCTTCTTCTTCTTCTTCTTCTTCTTCTTCTTCTTCTTCTTCTCTCTCTCTCTCTCTCTCTCTCTCTCTCTCTCTCTCTCTCTCTCTGTGTGTATCATGTGCATGCCTGGTACCTATGTAAATTGGAAAAGAGCTTTGGGTCCCTGGAGCTGGAGTTACAGATGTCTGTAAGCTACCATGTGGATCAGCAAGTGCTCTTAACTTCTGAGCAATCTCTCTACCCTCATATATGTGTAAATCCTTGCATTGCCTTAACACAGGGTCATAGTAAAAGTTAATGAAGTTACCTCTTTGAGTATAAAGTCAATCTTAGAGGAGTTGAACATAAGACATTTTAAATTTTGTTCTACATAGCATAATCATATGTGATTTTTGTTTAAAAGATTATTCCTTTTCTTGATGCATATTAGCCTAAGTAATATGATTTCCACTTTTGTCTGAATTATCAAATTTTAATATTTAAATTTTAATAATTTCAAATGTTTTCTCTTATCAGATGGTATGTGCAGTTACCTACACAGCAAGCTCATCAGTATCATGAATTAGAGACTCGTGGCCTCTCTCCATCTCCTTTTCCTATGTCTTCTCTTGAAGAAGAGGAAACTGTAGTCAGAGATGAGAACTGTGCGTTGCCCTCACGTCTCCACCCACAAGTAGCGCATAAGATTCAGGAATTAGTGTCTCAGGGAGTAGGACAAGTGTATGCAGTGAGGAAGCAGCTCAGGTACAGGAGAAGCAGCGTTTTCTTTTACACTGGTTGCCTAGGTGATACACTAAGCATTGATTTTCCAGGACATATGCATCTCATCTGTGAACATTGTTTTCAGCCAATGCTTGGCAAGCTTCATATGGTATTTCTTAATAAATTCTAAATGCTTATTTGAGACACTAAATCTTTGGCAGATTAGACTATTTCTACGTGATGAATTTATTTTATTTTACTAGCTAAGGTCTTCCTGGCCTTTAATTCACTTATAAAGCCCAGGTTGGCTTCCAGTTTTCAGCAATCTCAGGAAACTAAGTGCTGGTATTAGAGGTGTGAGTCACTATTCCTGAAATGAATTGAATTACATGATACATATTTTTGACATAAAAATGTGTAGAATCAGAAAATTAAAAACCTAAATTAAAGTAATTATTTTAGATTATTTGAAATTAAATAGAATTTTATTGTAATGGGGAATGAATATAATCAAAATAGAATATATACATGTATGATGTTCTCAAAAATTAAAATATTTGATTTTTAAAAAGATAAGTTAAACTATTTACTATAACTGTGTTATATTCGATTATAAATATGTATCACAACAACATTAATTAAGTATCTTGAGTACCATTAAAGATACGTCAAAATACTACAAATACAAGTTCCATTAGGCTGGAGGTGATGGCACACACCTTTGATCCCAGCACTCAGGAAGCAGAAGCAAGTGGATCTCTATGAGTTCAAGGCCAGCCTGGTCGTCAGAGCTAGTTCTAGGACAGGCATGGCTACACAGAGAAACCCTGTCTTGAAAAAAGAAAGAAAAGGCTTTTCATTAGATGAATAACTATCCAGATAAACTACAATGATAATTATTGTAATAAGGTGATTGATATATGTATATCACATATTCTGCCAAACCTTTAACTATATCATTTTACACATGAAAAAATAGAAATTAAAAATTGCTAAGTAATTGCCTTGAAAGACAGTGTCAGAACTGAAACCTGGATCTGGCTCTATAGCCTGTGGGTAATGTTATGATACTTTGTTCCTTTTGTTTACTGTGTACTGAAATCTGAATAAGAAAATGAGAATTATAAGAATTAGTTTTTGTTTGTTTGAGATTGGGTCTCACTGTATAGCCCTGGCTAAATTGGAACTCACTATGTAGACCAGGTGTCATAGAGATCTACTGGCCTCTGCATCCTGAGTGCTGGGATTCAAAGTGTGCACAGCTACAGTGAGCAGACACCATATAACCTTTCTGTTTTCAGAAATAAAGATTTGTTTTCATTGAGTTGCCTACAGAACAAAGCCAAAATTTAGTAAAGCCATCCACTATTTACTAAAATTTGGCTTATTCTACTTATTTCAAATTTTTACAATTCTTATTCTACTTATTTAAAAAGAGGTTCAATGAGAAAGAAAAGTAATAAATCTCTGCAGGTCTAATAAATGTAATATATAAAGCACAAATGTATTAAACATGTAATTGTGTAGCAATGCTACTTTTCTTACACCATCTTGCCTTCCGAAATCTTATTTTCTCACAATATTCGAACCATCAAGTTTCATGTAGTATTAATTGGTGCCTTTAGAAGCAGTGTAACATTGTGTTTACATATACAAATTGGAAATAGGTCCATGTTTTCTTACTTATTAAACAGGTATATAATTCAGGGCAACTTCAACTTGTGCAGCCTTCAACTCCCTCATCTGTAAGGTGGAATTGATTCTTGCACCGGGTCACATGGTCACAGTAATAGTTGAAGGAAATATCTGTAGTGTGTTCAGAATTGTGTCTGATATGGTAAGCACTTAAAAACATTATAATGTTCAAATTGAGGATTGTGGTCCAAGTTTAATTCATAAAAATGTCCAAGCTCAGTTGGATGGTGGTGGCACACACTTTTAATCCCAGCGCTTGGAAGGCAGAGGCTGGTGCATCTCTGTGAGTTTGAGCCAGCCTGATTTACAGAGTGAGTTCCAGGACAGCCTGTGCTGTTTACACATAGAAACCCTGTCTTGAAACAAGCAAACAAACAAAATAAAATGCTAAAGCTCTGTAATAGTGTGATTTGAACCAATTAAAATAGCACCTTTTGCTGGGCAGCGGTGGTGTAAGCTTTTAATCCTAGCACTTGGAAGGCAGAGACAGAGAAACTACAGAGAAACCCTGTCTTGAAAAACAAAACAAAACAAAACAAAAAACAAACAAACAAAAAATAGCATCTTTCTTTAACCTTTGGTTTGTTTTTTCTTTTCTTTTCTTTTCTTTTGAGATAGGATTTCTCTCTGTAGTTTTAGAGCCTGTCCTGGAACTCTCTCTGTAGACCAGGCTGACCTCGAACTCACAGAGATCTGCCTGCCTCTGTCTCCTGAGTGCTGGGATTAAAGGCGTGGGCTACCACCACCTGGCAAATTCTATGTTTTAATGAATAGAAAGAAATCTAAAATGGCTAATATTTTATTATTTACAGAATTATTTACATACATATGAATTATTTATAGAAATATGAATCATACTTTATAAAAGCTTATATTGAAAGAGAAACTTTCAGTCAGTCCATAAGGGCATCATTACAGTTATATTTTTATTTTATATCCTCCACAGAAAATTTGTGGAAAGAGAGCTGTTCAAACCTGATGAGGTACCTGAAAGACATAATTTGTCCTTTTTTCCAACTGTAAATGATATAAAAAATCATATCCATGAGGTACGGAAATCCTTGAGGACGGGAGATATGGTATCTAATCCAGAGATTATTCCAGCAACGGTACGATCACACCCATTTCTTTGTTTCATTAGAGTCCTTCCAGCTCCCATTAATGCATTAGCGAGTCTCTAGTTCTGGTAATACTTAATAGAAAAGGCTACTGTTACACCATCTCAATTGCTATGATTTAAGGAAATACATTAGGTAATTTTCTAAAATATGAATTCCACAAGCTCTCAGATAATGACTTAACTGCATATTTCTTACTACCCTCACAAGGAACAGAAACAACAGTAGATTTCCAAATCTAAGTATAACAGAGAAGAATCAATATTTTTTCTTTATGAGAACTACTTTTTATTCAGTTTACAGACATTTATTGAGCACATACTGAGTATATCCCTTGCTCATTTTAAAAAATAGATGGTCAAGGTCAAGTAGTTCAGTTTCAGGTGCACAAAGTGAGCTCTCCATGCCATATATGAATATCAGTGTTTACCTCATATTTTATATCGTCATTTCTCTGTCAATATTAGTAATTTCTGAGATATTTTTACCATAGTTATCCAGAAATTAGTGATTACAGTAGAAGTAGTGACTAATTTAGGAATTAAAATCTGAGTAGCTTTAACTTTTGCCTTCTTGACTTTTTACTTTCCAAGTTTTACTATCTGAACATTTTTGAATTGTACTTATTTCTTATGTATGTGGATGTTTTGCTTGCATGCCTGGGTCCCATGGAGGCCAGAAGAGGGTGTCGGATTCCCTGAACGTGTGGTAATAGGTGGTTGTGAGTCATCATGATGGGCTCTGGGAATCAAACCTAGGTCTTCTGGAAGATCAGCTGGTGCTTCACTGCCGGGCATCTCTTCAGTCCTAGTACTTGGATATTTCAAATGCTAGACCTGCTGGATGGTTTCTCTTTGTTTATTGTGTATCTAAACTTATTATTATTCTACCAAATTCAAGAAATAAAATATTTTCCTTCTACACTTCCTATCCAAATTGCTGATATCTGAGTTCATAGACCCTAACATAGTGGGACATACTTGTGCTTTGAGAATGTAGACAAGTAGAGAGTGATTACAGAAAAAAAACACGAGTGTAGTGAAAATAAAACAGGAAGCTGGGGGAGAGCTCATTCTGTAAAGTGCTTGCTGCACAAACATGCTGGTCTAAGTGGGATCCCCTAGGACTCACATAAAAATGCTGAGCGTGGTAGGCGTGAACTTCCAGTCCCAGTGCTGGGGGGTGGGGGCAGGATGGAACTAGCTGTCTAATTGGTGAGCTCCAGGCCAATAAAAGATGCCATCTCAAAGGAAACAGACTTAGTGCTGTCTTCTGGATCCATATGCATACATGCACAGGCGTGCATGCGCGCGCGCACACACACACACACACACACACACAGTGAGAGAGAGGGAAGAAGGGAGGGAGGGAGAGTAAAAAAAGAAAATAGAGGGCTGTAGAGTTGGCTCAGAGGTTAGGAGTGGCTGTTCTTCTAGAGGTCCTGAGTTCAATTCCCAACAACCACATGGTGGCTCACAACCATCTAAAATGAGATCTGGTTCCTTCTTCTGAAGGCAGAACATTGTATGCATAATAAATAAATACATCCTAAAAAGAAAGAAAAAGAAAGAAAGAAAAGAAAGAAAGAAAGCAGACTGAGCAAGCCATAAAGAGCAAGCCAGTAAGCATCACTCTTCTGTGGCCTCTACATCAGCTCCTGCTTAAAAGAAAAAGAAAAGGAAAATAGAGTTGGCTAGATGATTCAGTAGGTAACAGTGCTTGCCATTTCCAAAAGTTGTTCTCTGTTTTCCACATGTATGCCAAACCATGTGTGTACACGAGACACAAAATAAGTAAAAGAGGCCAGGCGGTGGTGGCGCACGCCTTTAATCCCAGCACTTGGGAGGCAGAGGCAGGTGGGTCTCTGTGAGTTCGAGGCCAACCTGGTCTACAAGAGCTAGTTCCAAGACAGGCTCAAAAACCACAGAGAAACCCTGTCTCGAAAAACCAAAAAAAAAAAAAAGTGTACATTTTTAAAAGAAAATACGATGGTTGTATTAATGTCTTAAGATTATTTTCAGTATAACTCCGTTGCTTTTGCTGAAACAAATGTTCTCACTTCAGCTTCAGTGGACTACAGATAGCGGGAATATTCTCAGAGAGACTGTAACAGTTACATTTGCAGAAGGTAGGTTGTTTCTGGATATTTTTTATAACATAGAAATCAATTGGTGTTATATCTGGAAAGAAGTTAACTATCTCATATAATCATTAAAAAAAAATCTCTGCATGCTCCTGTGTCCCGGTGTGTGTGTGTGTGCTGCTGGTCCTCCTTCGTGCACTGCCAGAGTTCAGGGATATATGCGTTTGCTACCTTGCCTAGCTTACTGATGATTTTTTGAAGTCCTCGATTCTGATAGTAATGATTGTTATAAAATTCAAGAGAAATAACTGTACATCTCCTGTTCAACTCAGGAAATTCACTGGGAGAACCAGTTACCAGCAGAGTGGGGGCAAGTAGGTCCCCAGAGCCGTTCCACTTGCTCTCCCCACTTCCTTCATTTCAGCCCAAAATCTCTTCACACTTACAGGTAGGCACCCATTAAACGCTAAGTTTAATCTTATTCTTCTTTCATGATTCCTCTTTTAAGGACTTCAGAGAATTGCTGTAAAATTACAATAATGGCCATATATTTCTTTATTATTTATTAATTCTTGAATCCTTTATGCCGCGATTGAAGGTGATAATTTGGATATTATGTTCTGAAAAGTTTGAGGGAGACTCTGACTGCAGTACAGTTTGCTGTATTGCTTTTCCTTGGTCCTTGTTTCTGTCTTCATGCATTGTTTGTTATTAACTACATACCTATTACCTTGTGTTCCAATTATTTTTTTTTGTTGTCAAAGAATATCCATGAGTATGTCATACTCAGTAAATCCAAACATTGTGATATAACTCTTTTCTCTTTAGAAGGGTTTGAAGTTACAGCCAAGACTCTCCTCTCTTGATGGATCCCAAGCTCTGGTATCAGAAAATGGCCACCCTTCCTCCGGTCCTTCAGGACTTCTGGATACAGCAGGAAATGCTGTAGTGAATAATCATTCTCTACTGCTTGGTCAGAGTCAGAACCTTCGAACAGACACATGCCTAACGCAAAACAGCAGCGCTGCCTCTGCCATGGGAAACCTCCCAGAGTCAGTTCACAATCTCGAAATGGGTCTGCTGGTGGAAGCTGAAGCTGTTGAGGAAACAGGGAATCTGGAGGGAAGTGTAAACAGGGTTCTGTTGGGAGATGTGCAAACCGTTCCGGTACTTGTTGTAGGCAGCCATCCAGCTCTGAGTAAGTGACCGTCAGTTTACAGTTGCCTGGTATCACCCCACCAAACAAGGGAAAAAGCATTCATTTCTACCCAGTGGGATTATAGTATTGTAAAGTTCAAATAAAATTATGAGAGGAAGATATTTCATTAACCTAATATTTTTTCTTATTATGTCTAATTATTTAATCCCAGTGAAATTATTCGTTGTCTATCCCAGCACTTTAAAGGCTTAGGCAGAAAGATTGCAAGTTCAAGGCCAGCCTGGTCTACAAAACAAGTTCTATATCAGCCTGAGCAACTTATCAAGACCCTGTCTCAAAATAAAAAGAGAGCTGGATGGGAGAGTAATTTATTGCTTAGCAGGTCCTAAGAACTGGGTTCAGTCGTCAGTGCAGACAGGAAAAGAAGGAAAGAGGAAACTATTCATTTTGAATAATTTATTTTTATTTATTTATTTTTTGAAACAGAGTCTCACTGGCTGTCCTGGAACTCACTATATAGACCAGGCTGGCCTCAAACTCATGTGACCACCATGCTTAGCTGGATTTATTTAATTTATTTTGCATACAAGGGTTTTGCCTGTGTGTATGGTATGTATGTGCAGAACATGTGTTCCCGGTGCCCAGGGCCCTAGGGCAGAAGAAGGCCTTGGTTATCCTGGAACTGGAGCTATGGATGGTTGTGGATCATCATATGGGTGCTAGCAACCGAGCCCAGGTGCTCTAACCTCTGAGCTATTTCCCTAGCCTCATAGCTCGTTTCTTGATTACCTGCTTTTCCATGGAAAGTCTATGGTGATGTAAAACTAGCAAAATTATTTTAGAATACATAAAATGTGTTAGAATGCATAGAATGTACTAGAAGCAAGTCATGTAAGGAAAACTACTTTAGGGCAAAGATTATGGAGAGATGACTCAGAGGTTAAGAGCAGTGTCTGTTCTTCCAGAGGTCCTGAGTTCGATTCCCAGCAATCACATGATGGCTCACCACCATCTGTAATGAGATCTGGTACCCCCTCTGGCCTGTAGGCAGGCATGCAGGCAGAACACTGTATATAACATAAATAAATAACATTGATAAATGTACATGGAAAGGATGGGAGTAAGTAGCCAATAAAGAGTTAGTAATAAGAAGTTGGGTTATACACTTAAATATTGAGTTTTGTGGACATTTACAAAAAATCAGTAAGATTTGAGCACATGAGTTTGTTTGAAGACCTTGTTATCTTTTGTTGTTGCTAACCCAGTCGTCATAGTGATAAAGCGTGTTCGCTCCCACCTGACCTCACCACATTACTTTCACACAGTTTCTATGGGAAGAGATCAGTATGCATTTTACTTTGAAGTATAAACATCTTCACGGAAATTATCCTTACAACATGTATTTGCTCTATCTTAATCACCATTCTTTTGGTAAATACAACTGAATAGTTTCTTTTAGAAAGGGTTACAGCCTTTTAAATTTATAGGGAAACACAGTTGTATGAAATTCACAGAAATCTTTTATAACTACAGAGTAACATTACAGGTGAGGAGAAAAATGAGTATATGAAAATATATTGTCGTAACACCATTCGAAAGTTAGCTGTATTCTCATTCTACAGATAGAGAAACCAAGGCTCAGGGAAGTTAATTGCCTAGTGCTCACATTTAGTCAGTGATAGAGGAGAGGACTAAGCCCAACTATTTTAATCCTTACCTCTAAGGCTTGCTTTCTCCCTCTGTGTTGTCACATAGGATTTCTGGGAGCATTAATCCAAACTGCTTTCAAAGAAACCCCTTTTAATCCAAATTTGTATGATTTATCTAGTGAGGTCGTAATCTGGGGGGTTATTTCACCAGGATTGTGGGGTCCTCTTTCCTTCTTGGCTCGTTGGCTGTCAGGCTGAGAGGGGAAAGAGGTTAAGGGTTTGACAGGAAGGTTTGTAGGCGATCCGTGAAAAGTGGATGGAAGGAAGGGGGCACCCATGACACAGACATCGGTGAGAGAGTACAAGGAATATGTAGGACTGGGGAGCCTGGGGACAAACCCTATCAGAAGGCTTATCCTGGGGCAGAACAGCACATCTCTCCTATAGCAGAGCCCCTAGCACGAATCTTCTGAGCAGATAAGGTCAGTCCCCCAACCAGGGACATTCCCCAGACAAAGACAGGTAGAGAGCTGGAAGCTCTGCTGGTGGGAGGGAGCTCCATGCTTCCCAGCTAATGAGAAGATGCCAGGCCATGGCAGACTGCGACCTCTAACTAGCCAGCAATGTATTCCTCCAGGATGTGAGCCGTTGGGTTCCCCATGTTGCTGACTGAACTGCAGTATAAAGTCCAGTATACCTCTAACAATATGCATGTGGCCAGCATATCAGTAAGCAGGTCGCCGTCCCTCTACCCTCTGCTCTCTAAGAGCAACTGAGCAGAGGTTCTTGATAGAGAATGATGATCCGAGGCAAGGTGTGGTGGTGCCTGCCTTTAATCCCAGCACTTGGTCTCTAGGTTCAAGGCCAGCATGGTCTATATAATGTGAACTTGTCCCCAAAACAAAACAAAAGAACAAGTGAAGATGCATTGTATTGGCCAGTTGACAGTGTGCTGGCTCTCCATTCATGTGGTTGTAAGCATGGTGGAAGGTGCTCAGGTGTTCTGAAGTGTTCTAGTTCAGCAGACATAGCTCACACAGCTGAGACAGGGCCATCATTTTAAGATGTGCTGCTGTGTTTTCTAATATGCCAAATATTTTTTTTTCAATTTTACCATGACCCTTTTCTAAACTGTGGTTTATTTGAGTTTATTCTAGGTTCAGATTGTTTTTATTTTTTAAAGATAAAGTCTCATGTATACCTGAATTCCTGATCCTCTGCTTTCAACACTCCAGTGCTGGCATTACAGGTGTACACCATCATGTCTGGCTTTAATTTGTATACTTTTAAAGAGACCACAGTGTAATAAAATATACTAACCATTTTGTGTCTTTTGTTTGGTTTTAAAGTTGAAGAAAGTCTAGAAGATACTCTGTCTGTGAACCAAGTTAAACAAGAACCCAAAGAGTCAACACTGTCTATAGGATCAAAAACTTTTCTGGACTGTAAAAAATTATCTGCTACATAAAATGCTTAAAGCTTTTCAAATTCTACAGCTCTGGTTCTGATGTCTTAAAAGGTGAAGATTGACGGGCATGGCATGTCAATCATTGGACCAGAACACAGTGATGAGCAGCTTTGACTTAAAACTTGAATATTTGTTGTCAATTCCATATTTGTATTTCTCTCAAGAAGTATCTTGCTTTATTTTGTATTCGTATTTTTTTTTTTAATTATCCAGTAAGACAAGTGTTAAAAGATCATCTGAACTTCACAGTAATTTAGTGTGAACAAAAATAGTTATCTCACTCCTGGAAATACCTAGTATTGGTTCTTATAAGACAAAAAAGACCAACAGTCAGAGTGTGTGAGTGTGTGGGGCATGTGTTGTGTGCTCAGAAATTTAAAATTGTGTGGAGAGTTTCGATTAGCTAACAGGTTAGAGAATTTGTTATGTGTCTTATTTGAAAAGATAGAGCAATAGACTTATATGAAAGCACAGAGCTGCCAGTCACATTCCTGTAGATTTGCAAAGTGGCCCCCAGCCACCAATCCCATTCCTATACGTTTGCATAGTAGCCGACAGACACCAGTCACATCCCTGTAGATTTGCATAGTAGCACACAGCCACCAATCACACTTCTGTAGATTTGCATAGTAGCACACAGCCACCAATCACATTTCTGTAGATTTGCATAGTAGCACACAGCCATCAATCACATTTCTGTAGATTTGCATAGTAGCACACAGCTACCAATCACATCCTTGTAGATTTGCATAGTAGCACACAGCTGCCAATCACATCCCTGGACACTGCATTTGTGGTTTATTCTCTAGGCTTTATACCTTTAACTATAAATGAATGGTACTAATGGTCTTCTGTCAGAAAGTTAAATGACTTGGTAAATATTGAAAAGTTTAAGTTGAATTAATCAGATTAATAACACAAATAAATGAATTTTATATGAGATTAGAAGTAAATCCCTATTTAGGAATAGAAAGATGAAAAATTCAGAGAATGGGGGAAATATAATTCTCTACTGTTTACAGATCAGTTAAGGGAGCTTGGTGGTAGCAAAATCTTGTTGTTTTTTAAATATTCAGTTTTTGGCTAGAAAATAATTTAAGTGATATTTACATTTTTCTATACTAGAGTTCTTACTGAATTGATAGTATTACAATGTATATATTTCAAGGTATAAAACTATATATAGTTTAAAATTTAGTCCATATTTAAAACTTGAAAATGTTCAATCTGATATTTGCTTATTAAATATGTATATTTATATCTAGTACCAAATAACTAATAATCAGTACATTCATTATAAGTTCTTTTTTTGAAAGATTGGGTAACTAGTAATTTCAAATATAACTGTCATGAAATTAACTGAGCTAAACGCAGTGGTGCTCATCTGTGATCCCAGCACTCAGGAGGCAGAGACAGGCCAATCTCTGTGAGCTCAAGACCAACCTGGACTACATAGACAGATCCTACTAAGAAAGAAAGAAGGAATCAACCTATATTCATTTATGAGTGTATTTAAATTTTAATTCTTTACTAAAATAAGAATTTCAAGTGGATATTAAAGTTTACTATTCAAAGCATGAACAGTATACTATGAAATTTGACCTCAGTACTTGACATGGGTATCCATCACCTTTGGCTTTTCTGTTGTGTCTCCCATTCTCATTCATGTTTTAGGTACATGGCCTGTATCTAAGTATAAAACACTGTTCTTTAGAAGTAGGTAGAACTCTTAGATTCATTATCTTTACAACTATATCTAGTCAACATAAAGTTTATTATTTATCTTATCGAATGCAAATTTCATATCTAATTATATGTACATTGTTAGTAAGAACTGCTTTTTCTTTCCTAAAAAAATGAAGATATCTAGTGACAGCATTTATAGAGGCAGGTTGCTCAATCTGAATATATTATGCTAAGTTCAACACAATTCATAGTCACTTCAAAACCCGAGTTTCCTTAGTCTGTACTTATGAGGAATGAGATCATATTAGTATGTATTTACAACTGTATGATAGGTAATACTTTTTGTTATCCTTGTTATAGAAACTGTTTTTCCAGAACTAATAGGTTTTCACCTTCCAATGATGATTAAGGTTTATTATTAAATATCTCATTCATTGAGCTGTATTCTTTGGGAGACATTCCTTTTTGATGTTGAATTGTTAGGGAGCGATGCTTGTTAAGAAATAAGCCAGTTTCCTGTGAGGATTCAGAGCTTAATGTTTAATCAGGAACAAACAGTTAAAATATATTTCCAAGTCAGGCAGTGGTGCTGCACACCTTTAATCTCAGTACTCAGAGGCAGAGACAGGCCAATCTCTGTGAGTTCAAGGCCAGCCTGGTCTTGTAGTGAATTCCAGGACAGCCAGAGCTACACAGAGAAAACAACAACAATAACAACAAATATATATATATAGTTGTATATATACACACACACATATATACATATATATTTATATTCCTGTCACTCCATTCTAGCAATGGTGCACATCTCTAATTCCAGTGGATCTCTGTGAGTTCGAGGCCAGCCTGGTCTACATAGCAGGTTTCAGAACAGCTAGAGCTACAAAGTGAGACCCTGTCTTCAAAAAAATAAAAAAAAATATAAAATTTATGCCACTTCATTCTGTATGAATAGGTCTTCTGTTAATATTTTTTATTATTAAATACAAGGAAAGAAGGCTACATATATTCTTCCTGCAACACAAAACAGAAAACTGACCACTTAAATACCCAATTGTATGTCCTTTTTTTTTTTTTAGGAGAAACTGCAACTATTAACATTTTTGTGAGTAGTTATTCCACGAAATGGTCTCTAAATGTGTGTAAAAATCATTTGCCTTCTAAACGCCTGTATAGTTGCAGCATGCCAGTGCTGGCCAGTTCCCATGTTCAAGTGTTTAATTCTCTCTAAATGTACCAGATCTTAAAAACAAGTATAAAAATTTCAGTATCTGTATTTGGCATTCCCTTAACAACTCCACAGCAGAGTTTGGCAAGCGTTCCTTGGATCATGTGTTACAAGGTGTGGCATCTGCAGTAGTAGGCTGGACATTTAAAATAAGCAGTTAGAAACTCACAATCACAGGCTGGCTTCTTTGAAACCTGCAAGCAGACTTTGTATATACAGCAGTAAATTACCGATAAACAGCCACAACACACTTTCTCAGTAGTCATTTTCTGTTAGCAGCTAGTGTGCTTAAACCTTAACATCTTACGCAAACTAAATGTTTCCTAGCCACCACAGAAGTGCTAGGAACATAAGCTTTGGGGCCCACCAGTGTGTGCTTCCTCTTCTTTATATCCTGTCAGACTATGACTTAATCAGTGAGTATGAGACTGTTTTCTTTATAACAGGTTTGTAAAGAGATTTCAAAATGTATGTATATATTGTAACCTAATGTACAGTGCTCCTGTAATAATGTAATTTTTTCATTAAAAATTCTGTTTTTTTCTTATGTGTTAGTTTTTGAAAATATTCTTCTCCTAGAGATAATGAAAATTTTGTTAATCTTAAATAAGATGCTGATAAGTGCTTTAGTACCTGAGAATTTTAAATAGAGATTTATGTCAGTTTGAAGCCTGATAGTTTTTAAGGATTAACTGCCATCAGCATATATGTATATGCTACATATGTATATATATGTATATGCTAGTAGATATATCTGTATCTATGAATATGTATATCTACATATATACTAGTAGATATATCTATATCTATTTATGAATATGTATATCTATGTATATACTAGTAGATGTATCTGTATCTATCTATGAATGTGTATATCTACATATATGCTAGTAGATATATCTATATCTATTTATGAATATGTATATCTACATATATACTACTAGTAGATATATCTGTATCAATCTGTGGATATGTATATCTACATATATACTAGTAGATATATCTATCTATCTATGAATGTGTATATCTACGTATATGCTAGTAGGTATATCTATATCTGTCTATTTATGAAATGACTTGGTGGGTAAAGGTTCAACTGTGATGTCCTGAGTTCAATCCCCCCAAATAGATGTAAAAGTGGAAGAAAGCAAGCCAACTCCACAGTGTTGTCCTATGACCTCCACACATGCATCCCACACAATAATAATTTACAAACAAAAATTTAAAGGCTAGCAATATGACTCAGCAGCTAACTCCACTTGCCATTAAGCCTGATCACACTAATTTAGATTCTTTGACCCAGGAGGGAGAGTACTGACTGCTTCTGGTTGTTCTCTGAGCACCTCTAGCCATGCAGGAGGGGTCAGGGGTCTTCCCTTGGTATGGAGGGCCTAGAGAGTGGGGTGTCATGCCTGGTGGGTGGTCACTTATCTCTTGGTACTCTGTGTAGTAGCAGGCTGTGTGTCAGAGTTCCACTGAGGTTGCCCAAATTTTTATATTGTGGTGTGAGAAAAGATTGATGGCAAAATGGCACTGAGCAGAGATAAAAAAGAAGAGAGAAAATGAACTAGTAAAATATATTGGAAGAAGCAGAAGGGTCATTATATTTAACCTAGTTTTCCATCATATTCTGATAGCTAAAATTGGAGCAGGTAGATGCTGTAGAATCTGTCTTTGATCCTGTGGTAGGGTTGAGGGGCAGAGGACTTGAGTCATGTTCATGTTGTATGCTAAGTGCAGTGGTGTGTAGGTACAGGTTGGCCCAGCCTGTGAGAAATTATTTTCGTTGTCCATCCAGAGTTTAAAATTCTGGTTACTTGAGACTGACCTTGATGAGAGTCATCACATGATGGAATGTCACAAGCACTACAAATCAACCCTTTCTCCCTTTCTCCTCTTTTCAGAGACAAATTTTAAATATTTCTCATCTTAAAGGTAGTCATACTTATTTTAAACTCATCATTGTGTGTAGGTAAGTGAATAAAGAAAAAAGAAAAATGACTCATACTCTGAAATTTCACAGCATTTGTACCATAAACAGAAGGGATAAGAAAAAAAGGTGACTCTGTGTCTAAACTTTTTCTCATTAATTGATATACTATCCATTTCATTCCTAGAATTCTCCCTACTCAGTGTAGTTCCTGCATGCTATGTTGAGTTTCAGTTGGGTCTGTCTATCCCAGGGTGGCCAGATCAGACTTTTCCTTTTTTCTTTTTTTTTTCTGTCTCTTTCATTTGGATTTTGGACACTGGATAAATCTAAGTATAACTTTTCTGATACTTTAGGCTCCTTTACTTTTTCTAGAAATGCCCCATTTTTCATGTGTCAGTTTGTTTATCATATGTCTGACCTCCATACCTGCTTAAATAGCATGAGTGTATTTTTCCCTTTACCTCTCCATTGTCCTCCTCTGTGTGATTGCTGAGTTGCATACTTGCATGAGCTTGAAATATTCCCTCATAACTTGAACAGATTATCTTTGGACTTTCACTTGAGTACATTTTTAAACTTTTTTATTAATGAGATTGAGAACCCCCAAAATATTATCCAATAACGGAAGCATCATAGCTCTGAGCTATCAATACTTGTGCAGAGGAACATTAGGGAATTCTGAGTTGGAGGTGTCCTTTAATGGAGACATTTGTGGCAGATTTTCACAGCTTCTCACCAGTTTTTTCTAGTCTCAGTCTCTCCAAGAAAGGTGATGTCAGACATTCAGGATCC